TAAGATTAGAATCTACTACACTCAGCTAAGTTGCACTCTGATCTAAGAAGTTCTTATCTAAATAACTGCCCTTTAGAATCGCTCTGTTAATCAATAAACAGCTGTATAATTAGACATTACTTTCTTTTCTGACAACTACTCCCATTTACTCTATTTCTGTTCACCTTTCTTCCCTTCTTTAGTTTTCAGACATTGTCTCAGATGTACCCTTAGACCCTTTAACCCTGGTCTGCATGAAATTCCATACTTATATTTATGCTTTCCTTAATGCCTAAATATTGGCAATCTTTGGGAGTCATTCCCTTATCCCCAGTGGGGAAAATACTGCCACAAATTTAAACACATTTCACCACTTTAGTAGTTCACAAACTAGACAAAGGCACTGTCAAGGATTGCTTGGATAACTAACAGTAGTCTCCTTGCTTCTTCTATTCCTCCTACTACTGTCTTTTCTTAACACAGCAGCAAAATTGTTTTATGTCTTTATGCAGACATAGGTAAAAACATGTCATTTAACTACATAATGACCCATCTTATCTCTTTATTTCACTTAAGTTAAAATCAAAGTTCTGTCAGTAGCTCACTAGATGTTACAATTTTTTTTTGAGGTGGGGTCTTGCTCTGTTGCCCAGGCTGGAGTGCAGTGGAACAATCATAGCTCACTGCAGCCTCAACCTCCTGGGATCAAAGGGTCCTCCCCTGCCTCAGCCTTCTGAGTAACTGGGACTACAGGTGCATGCCACCATGCCTGGCTAATTTTTTTATTATTTTGTAGAGACGGGGTCTTGCCATCTTTCCCCAGCTGGTCTTGAATTCCTGGGCTCAAGGGGTCCTCCCACCTTGGCCTCCCAAAATGCTGGGATTACAAGCATGAGCCACCATGCCTGGCTGATCCATTACCTTTCTAACTTATTTTCCTACTGTTGTTTTCCTGACTCAATTCATATCAGCGACACTGGCCACTTTATATTCCTTGAAAACACCAGGCACATTCCTACCTTATGGTCTTTGCTGTAGTTGTCTTCTCTGCCTGGAAAACTCTTCACCCAGAAATCCAGTTAGATATCCACCCTACTTCCCCCAGGTATTACCGTCTCACGGAGGTATATCCAGAATCTCTATTTAAATTGAAATCCCTCTGCAGCTGCCAGTAGTTCTCTTTCACTGACTTGCTTTTTCACTTTTCACAGCAGTTATCACCTTCTAAGATATTGAAATGGGAAAGGTCTCCTTGTCCCCCACTCACAGGGTTTGCAACAGCGGGAGTGGCTCACTTCTTCAGTGCCCTGCTGCTCAAACCTCTAGGGAGAGCATACAGACGGGCAGGCTGTGGGGCTCTGACCTCATGTCAGCATCTAGGGTGTATGTTTACGGTTCCTGAAGCCCCAGTGGGCGTATGTTACTGTGTGCTCTTTTAGTTTTGCCATGTATAGGCAGCTAGTGTTAACCAGCTCAGTTAGACCCTCTGCCTTATTGCAAGGACAGAGGGCTTTCTGTATCCCAGGTTCTTGCCTTGGTGTACCAGAAAAATCAGATCACATGTGGGCTTGAAGAATGAGTGCAAGGTTTTATTGACTGGAAGTGACTCTTAGCAGATGGGGGAGCCAGAAGGGAGACGGAGTGGGAAGGTAGTTTTCTCCTGGAGTCAGGCTGCTCAGCAGCTGGATTCACCTCCAACTGCCCGGTCAAACTCCATGTTATTCCGCTGGTCAATGGCCTGCCAGCGTGCCAGCGTCTGCTGGTGCCTGTTGGTGTGATCTTCAACCAATGTATCCCTCTTGACATCCAGCCACTTTTGTGTTCTTCCACTGATGTGTTCCTCTCGACATCCAGCTGCTTGTGTCTCTGCCTGCTAGGGTCTCAGGATTTTTATAGGCACAGGATGGGGCATGGCAGGCCAGGATTGGTCTTGGGACAGGAGTGTCTGTCCTCACGTAGGTCCGTGAGCACAGGCCCAGGGGTGGAGCCCTAGCCAGGGACCATGCCCTTCCCTTACCAGCACTTCTCTGCCCTTCTTCCATATCACTTCCCCTGTCTGAAGAGGTACATCTAACTGCTGTTCGAATATGGACGATGACGGGTCTTAGCTGCTTCCTGCTGATAGGGGCATTGTTTTGGGGAAAACAGCAGTCAGATTCTTCCCAGAGGTCTATCTAAGGGTTCCTAGCAAAGGAGAGCCATCATCCAAGGCTCTGGTTCCCTGACCATTTGGAGGTTGATGGCTTCTAGGTGTGAGAGAAGAAACAAGTTTCATAAGGTTAAGTATGCATGGATTATACATACTTGGGTATGTATACCCAAGTTATACATACTATACATACATACATACATACTATACATACTATAATAAATACGTGTATTATACAAGGATATAATCTGCTGGAAATTTTTTTCTTTGTGGTTACCATGAGGCTTACAAAAATTATTTTATAGTTATAATACCCTAATTTAAGCTATAATGCCTTAACTACAATACAGTACAAAGACTCTACACTTTTGCTTTTCACACACATATACAGTTTATGATATTGATATCTTTATATGATGTATCTGCAAACCAATTACTATAGCCATAGTTATTTTAAATACATTTGTTTTTTTAACTTTTGTAAGAGTGATTATACACCACCTTTACAATATTAGAGTATTCTGAATGTGGTTATATATGTACATTTACCATTGGGTTTTATATTTTTTCTTTTTTTTTTTTTTTTTTTTTTTTTTTTTTTTTTTTTTTTTGAGACGTAGTCTCACTCTGTCGCCCACGATGGCGTGCATTGGTAAGATCTTGGCTCACTGCAAGCTCTGCCTCCCAGGTTCACATCATTCTACTGCCTCAGCCTCCCGAGTAGCTGGGACTACAGGCCTGGCTAATTTTTTTGTATTTTTAGTAGAGACGGGGTTTCACCATGTTAGCCAGGATGGTCTCAATCTCCTGACCTCATGATCCGCTCGCCTCTGCCTCACTTATTCTATTTTTATGTTGTTACTTATTGTCCTTTTGTTTCAACTCCAAGAATTCCCTTTAGCATTTCTTGCAAAGCTGGTCTCATGGCAATGAAATCCCTCAACTTTTGTCCTCACATGTCTTTATCTCTCCTTCATTTGTCATAGATAGCTTTGTCAAGTATAGTATTCATGGTTGGTATTTCTTTTTCTTTTAGTACTTTAAATCTGTAACCCCACTCCCTCTTGACTTGCAAGGTTTTCGTTGAGAACTCTGGTATTGGAGATCTCTTATATGTGATGTTTCTTTCAGAATTCTCTCTTTGTGTTTGACCTTTGACAATCTGATTATAGTATATCTTGGAGTATGTCTTTTTTGAATTGAACTTGCTTGGAGTGCTTTGATCATCTTCAATCTGGATGTCCATATCCCTCTCAAGATTTGGGAAATTTTCAGATAATATTCCATTGATTAAGCTTACTGCCCCTTCCTCTTTCTCTTCTTCTGGTACTTCCATAATTCATATATTTGTATGTTTGATGGTGTTCCATAAGTATGCATAAAACACTTATGGAAAAATAATCTCAAAATTTTTGAGTGGAGCAACCTAAAACTAGAAGGCATCACTTTCCTCTTCAAGTGACTGACTTCTTAACCTAGAAATCACCACCACAGGATGCATATAAGACTGAAACAAAATGTGGCTTTGTGAATATAGTGTGGGCTTTGGAGTCAGAAACTCTGCCATTTATTGGCTGGGTAACTTCTAGTGTCTCTCTCCATCTCAAAGAATTTCATTGTACAGTTTATTAGGGATTAAACAAGTTTGTACTTATAAGGTACTCACTATAGAACTCTGTAGTCAATAGATACTCAATATAAGGTGTTTATTACTCTCTTTGTTCTCCACAGTGGGTTATGACATCCCATTTACTGGCTCACTCTTCCTAGCACCACAGACCTCTGGACTGGATTTCTTCTTGCTATCTAACTCCAACAACTTGGCTTCTTTTGTTCACCTTCGTTTGTTTCAAGGCTCTTTTTTTAACTTTTAGTTCTAAGGGTACATGTAATTGCTTGTTATATGGGTAAATTGTGTGTTGTGGGGGTTTGGTGTACAGATTCTTTAGTCACCTGGGTAATAAGCATAGTACCTAAGAGATATTTTTTCTCCCTCCTCTTAGCCTCCATCCTCAAGTGGGCCCCAGTGTCTGTTCCCCTCTTAGTGCCCATGTGTTCTTGTTGTTTAGCTCCCACTTATAAGCGAGAACATATGGTATTTGATCTTCTGTTCCTGCTTTAGTTTGCTTAGAATAGTGGTCTCCAGCTCCATCCATGTTGCTGCAGAGGACATGATCTCATTCTTTTTTACGGTTGTGTAGTATTTCATGGTGTATATGTACCACTTTTTCTTTATCTGGTCTGCCTGTTTTTAAATATAGACATTCTTCTCATTTTTAATTATCAAACATTTATAAAGTGACTATTCTGTGGAAGGTTCTCTGCCTCAAGAGTTACAAAGATTAGGCCGGGGGGAGTGGCTCACACCTGTAATCCCAGCACTTTGGGAGGCTGAGGCGGGTGGATCACCTGAGGTCTGGAGTTCGGCACCGGCCTGACCAACAGGGAGAAACCCTATCTCTACTAAAAATACAAAATTAGCCAGGTGTGGTGACACATGCCTGTAATCCCAGCTACTTGGGAGGCTGAGGCAGGAGAATCTATTAAACTCGGGAGGCAGAGGTTGCAGTGAGCTGAGACGGCACCACTGCACCCCAGCCTGGGCAACAAGAGTGAAGCTCTGTCTCAAAAAAAAAAAAAAGTTACAAAGATTAATGATACAGAATCTCTGGCCTTAAAAATCTCTGAAAAACTAGAAATAATTCTAAAGCCCACATAGAGTGAGTTCCCTTCCAGTATTCTATACAAGTTCAAGGTCCTCCAAAGTATTCCTCAATCTTCCTAGCCTTTTGATCCTCCTCTGCCTTTTCTCCTGCCTCGCTGATGTTCTAAGTCTCTGTTATGACACAGATTCCAGAACCTTCACAGGCCATACTCCCATCATTTGCTTAGGTCTGATCAATCTGCTCCACACAATTTCTCAGTGATCCTCTGCATCTCTGCCTACAAGGGCCTCCCTGACACCCAAGTTCATATTGCTCAGAAACAGTGAACTTGAGTTTTTCGTTTTATCTTGATCTCTCTCTGACAAAGAAATCCAAATGATGCGAGACCTGCTGAAGACAATACATGGAAAATGACAGTCTTGGGTATGGACTAACTCCCTCTTTGAGGCTTTCTTGACTCTAATGGTTCAGGAGTCTCCTCTTAGGGACTTAGGGACTTTAACACGACTGCTTTATCATCCTTGCCTACTTCCTTTTCAAATTCAATATTTTTTCTTTCAGTCTTATTGATTCCTCTGGAAGCCTGGGGGAAACAACCCACAGTTAACTAAGCTGTAGGCTGATCATGCTGGTTTCTCTTTTGGTTTCTAGAGGTTAAACTGAACAAAGAAAATAACCATCCTCCATAGCACTAGGAAAATTCCTTAGCCCATTATCTCACTTCTTGTAGTATGGTCACTCTATAATCTACCTCAACTCAGAAATAATGATTTCCTCTCATTTTCACTATTAATGGGGGGGACCATCTTCTAACTGCCCTATGATGGGGCATTTCAGACACTAAAGGAAGAAAGGGAGTATACAGTAGTACTGAGTACACCACCTAGTTATCCTTCCCTCCCTGATGAGTTATTTAAAACTAGAAAAAAAAAGTTCACATAATAGAGGCCATATTGATTACTTGCTGTTCATTTTAGTGGTACATTAGAAGAAAATCTTCAAAAGTTGATTTGGCAGGAGAATTTTCTCACAGGACCAAATACCTAGAAGACTTAGTAGACAAATGCCTAATCTGCCCTGATTGGAGGTGTGTTATTACATCTTGAGATGGATTCACCTATTGTTTGTTTGAAGTAGTCTTAATGTGGGTATAATCTACTTTCTTAGTCTTTCAGAGTTCAATATTCTTCAGAGTTTTTACTTTCACAGGGAGATTTATGGTTGGTTTTTTCTTCTTTCCTTTCTCTCTCTCTCTCTCTCTCTCTCTCTCTGTCTCCCTTCTTTTTTTCTCCCCCCAGATCCTTCATAGCCACTGCCCTTTATAACCATATGATACTAAGATTTTTCTTTCCTACGACTGCAAGACTCTATCTTACAGCAATTGAATGCAAATCAATGACACAAAAACAAACACAAGTTAAGCAATCCCTGCATGTTTTATCCTACCAACCACAACAACAAACCTCGCAAATATCCATCTTATCATGAGGAGGTTGGCGAGTGATGACTGAAAGGTTTTTCTGTGATAAGAAATTTCTGTCCTTTGCTGTGGCTTTCATTAATAAAACCATTTTCAGTCAGCATCCTTTAGTCAGGGTGCTGAAAGTTTTTTGATCACTCACTCATAAAAATGTTTGTGAATATACATTTCCTATGCAAGTATATTTATAAATGTTATGAATTCACAGCTATATGTATATATAGCTATATATACACATATATACATATCTAGCTATATATATATACACACATATCTAGCTCTATATATATACACACATATATAGCTATATATATATACAGAAAATCTTGCAACTTTAAAGGTATGAGTTAAAATTACACAGAAAATAGAAGTTCTAATATTTTCCCCATACCGCAGTGGATAGCTTCGTAGACCACTGATTCCCTTTCACATTCTTCCTGCCTGGGGAGTAAAGGGTTCAATTGAGGAGGAAATCTGTCAGATTGTTGACTCTACACCAAGGGTACACAGCATCTGAGGTTCTTAGTATATGACCAAAGAACCAATGTAAGAGCTAAAAATGGGCAGGGGCAGGAATGTGAGGACAGCAATATCAGGCAAATAAATGAATAAAGGAGTTGAAGCAGCAGAAAGGGGAAAGAAAAAAAAGTCTATCTGGTGGATAGTAAGAGGTGATCAGAAGTTGTTTCTGGTAATTTCCCGGTCTAAATAAGCATGTTTACAGGTGAGTTTTTTGTTTTCAGAAATAACTTTGGCTGTCATCCTGACTCTCCTGGGACTTGCCATCCTGGCTATTTTGTTAACAAGATGGGCACGACATAAGCAAAGTGGTGAGTAATGATGAGTCAAAATGAAGATTTCCTGTGAAAACCACAGAGGGAGGGATGCCAAGATTCAGTCTGAGTTCATCTCTACTTATCAAACAGCTAGAGACTTTGCCAATATTCTGGGAATCTGTTTCAATACTTGAGTCAAAGAATCTCTGACCTATTAGTGATTCTCCCTGCACTTTTAACTCCCAAAGTTTACATTATCAATAATGTCAAACAAAATATCACAGATAGGCTGGGCATGGTGGCTCAGGCCTGTAATCCCAGCACTTTGGGAGGCCGAGGTGGGTGGATCACAAGGTCAGGAGTTCGAGACCAGCCTGACCAACATGGTGATATCCCGTCACTACTAAAAATACAAAAATCAGCTGGGCATGGTGGGAGGCAACTGTAATCCCAACTGCTTGGGAGACTGAGGCAGGAGAATTGTTTGAACCCAGGAGGCGGAGGTTGCAGTGAGCTGAGATCACACCACTGCACTCCAGCCTGGGTGACAGGGCAAGACTCCGTCTCAAAAAAAAAAAAAAATCATAATAGAGTTTAGCAAAAGTAATAAGAATACTTTTAAAAGAAAATTACCTGAGCTCCAAGGGAAATTACCTGAGTTTAAAAAATAAATAAATAAATAAAAGTGAGAAGACAGTAAGTTGGTAAACACCAATATCTAGTATTATATAATAAGAATTGGAGACTTTCAGTGACTTAATTTGGGGAGATGATAAGAAGAGACAAATACAGAGTAGTACTTGTCAATGAAACAGAGATGGAGCTCATAAAAGCTAAGACCTATTTCTATGCCACAAGGTCCCTCTTTCCTGGATTGTTCTGTTTCTCTCTCACAACTTTCTAATTAGCTATATTCCCTCTCTGTTTCCCACCCTTAATGCCTATGAGCCCTCAAAGCATAAGTATTGTGAAAACACAGATAAAAACAGGGCTGATGGGAGATGTGGAAAATGGGTGAGAACAATAATGCATTATATCAGGAGGACCACCTTGGGAGACAAGAAGCACAGCTTAGAGTAACGAGAGTTGGATCAGAGGAAGAACACTTCTCACAAGTAACTAATAAAAACATTTTGCCTAATTCTTCCACAGAAATGTATGTCTGCAGATACAGTTCAGAACAAAGTAAGTACTTATACTCATGAGAAAAAGAAATACAGTAAGTATTTTTAGAATTTTCACAAGTCAAGAATGAAATCTGTCTTGTTTACAGTTGTGTTTCTGGAACTTTGCATAGTGCACCACTGCATGAACTGAACTGCTTCTAAGTGACTGGGAGAAATCTACCAGAGGTTTCTGAGCAGTACTGAATGCCAAACTGGAGTTGGGGAGAATTAATTAATACTGGGTAGGCCCGCATAATTCTGAGGCCCTCTTCAGATGTTTCCTGGTCTGAGAGCAAAAACAGAGATACTAACCCATGGAAATAGCAAACTCCTCAGGCACTGAAGCAGATGGTTCAGTAAAAAGCCTAAATCTATTCGTGAAGAGGGTCTTAGTAAGGTGGCTGGACAGAAAAATCTAATGTATCCTAGAATAACGAGAGTGAACACAGTGAAGGTAATTATGATTGAGGAGAGTACCAACTTCAGGATGTGAAGAAGACTTTCCATGGAAAGGTCTGGAGAGATGCCAAAGTTGCTAAGAAAGATAGCACAGGATTGGTATAAGGCAAAAAATAGGAGACTAGCTGCTGAAGTATCAAGAGGTAAAAGAAACTTTGAAATTCCTTCTGACTATCATTTAGCTTGGCTAATATTATAAAACTAATGATTGGCACAGTCACTTAACATCATCAGTTCCTGCAACTTATGTACAATTCCTAGTTCCTGCAAAGTAAATTAATTCACATCATTATTCTCCATTAGGAGTTCATGTTTACATTAGTTCTCAGAGTCTTAAACAAAGCCTCATTAATAAGAAGAAAAATCATGTGCTCTCCCTTTTTTCCTAGGTGCTAGACTTCTGGACTATGAGGATGGTAGAGGTAAATAGATTAGGAACTACTAGAGCGTTAATGAAGGAATACACTCTTTAGAGAGTGAATCAATTCATCTCCCTTTGAGCATGATTTGTTGAGTCAGCATATCTTTCATTGTTATAATATCCAAATGCTTATCACTCCTGTCTCTCTCTCTGTCTCAAGAAAAATTGTGCATTTTTCTCAGAAAAGGTAAATAATTCTCCTTAAGACCATCAGAAGAATTCATTCCTATCTTCTGTTTACCCCCAACATATTAGAAAGGTTAAGGAACCTCTCTGAAACAATTTCCTGGATGTTTAAAATGTGGATAAAATGAATATGAAATGGAATAGTATATGTGAAAATACACTTTGAAAGCCATACAGTGTAAGAGTTAAAAAAAAAAAAAAGCTTATTCCCATTTAAGAAGACGAAATTTATGCTCAAAAGATTGAGACTTACTCAAGTTCACCTAGCTGAGGAAGGAGCTGGATATCAAATTCAGGTTTTGAAATGTGATAGTTATGAGAAGAGAGCAATGTCTTGTCTACTTTTTTGAGGGAACACACCAGTACCACTAATTTCAATGTACCATGGCTATCCCTAACCCTCACGTCCCAACACTCAATGTTCTCTTTCAATATCCACTCTCTAGGGTTGCCTATAGATGTTTCCTCAGCTCTCTTTCTCTCTATCTCTCTTTCTCTCTCTCTTTCCTTCCCTCTTACTCTCTCTCTGACCAGTCCTATCTCCAGAACTCAACAAGTACCACTAGAGCTACCTCTCATTCTTGTTGGAAGCCACTAAAGTTGTCCACACCAGGCCCACCAGCTACACCAGAACTATAAGGTTATGAGATTGTGGGTGTGGAAATAATTACACACACACACATATATATACACACACACACACACACACACACACACACACACAACAAGCATATAGATCCCGGAGAGTTGAGGAAAGAAAAGAGAAAGTAACTCAGTTACTTCGCTTGCTGTCCATGCCCCACACTTGGACTCTTGGTCCATCCTTCTTACCTCTATGATTCATCTATCACGAACAAGAGTGAGGAGCAAAGTGCCATGGCATTCCCTGTTTATTTTCTGAAATGGAACCTAAAGAAAATGGGAATATCTGGAAAACTAGCAAATCTTTTAGTAGTTGGATTGAGACTAATGTTAAACGTTTTTTGTTTGTTTGAGACGGAGTCTCACACTGTCGCCCGCGATCTCGGCTCACTGCAAGCTCCACCTCCCGGGTTCACGCCATTCTCCTGCCTCAGCCTCCCCGGTAGCTGGGACTACAGGTGCCCGCCACCGTGCCCGACTAAATTTTTTGTATTTTTAGTAGAGACGGGGTTTCACCGTGTTAGCCAGGATGGTCTCCATCTCCTGACGTTGTGATCCGCCCGCCTTGGCCCCGCAAAGTGCTGGGATTACAGGCGTGAGCCACAGCGCCCGGCCAAGTCCCAATTCTTTCAAGGAGGGGAAATTTTGGAGCTGAAGAGTGCAATGACTAAACTAAAAAAAAAAGAGAGAGAGAATAGAGAGCTTCCAAGATAATGGATCAAGTACAAGAAAGAATAAGAGAAGTCAAAGACCAATCATTTAAAATTATCTGGTCAGAGTACAAAAAAGAAACACAAAGAAATGAAAAAATATGTACAGGATTTATGGGACAGCATCAAGGAAGCTAACTTTTGCATTATTGGAGTCTCGGAGGAAAAGAGAAATAAAATAGAATAAATGCTTATTTAAGGCATAATTGCTAGAAACTTTCCAAATCTGTAAAGAGATATAGACATCTCAATACATGAAACTCAAAACTCTCCAATTGTATTTAACCCAAAGAAGTCTTCTCCAAGACATTATGTCAAATTGTCAATAATCAAATTAAAGAGAGAATCTTGAAAAAAGCATATCACATTTAAAGGTACATCAAAAGGATATTAGCACTTCTACACAGACATTTTCTAGGCCAGTACATAGTGGGATGATATATTCAATTTGCTGAAAGAAAAAAACTGCCAACCAATAACTCTTTACCCGTAAAGCTGTTTTTCAGATATGAGAAAGAGATAGTCTTTATCAGACAAACAAAAGCTGAGGGAGTTTATCACCAATAGATCTGCCTTACAAGAAATGCTAGAGAATGTTCTTCAAGCTGAAATGAAAGGCCAATAAATTAGTAAAATGAAAACATATCCAAGTATAAAATTCACTGGTAAGGTAAATATACAGTCAATTCAGAATATTATAATACTGTAATGATAGTGTATAAATCACTTTTAATGCTAATACAAAAGTTAAAAGATAAAAATATTAAAAATATATCATTTGTTAATGGATATACAATTATTTTAAATGTAAATTTTGACACTGAGAATGTAAAAAGTAGGGAGAATAATATGTAGAGTTTTTGTATGCAGTCTATTTTAAGTTATTATTAGCTTAAAATAGACTGTTGAAAACCATGTTTTATGTAAGCCTATGGTAACCACAAACCAAAAACCTATACTAGATACACAAAACAGAAAGATATTAAAGCATACCACGACAGAAAATCAGCAAATCACAAAGAAAGAAAGGAAGAAAGGATATACAAAACAGCCAGAAAACAACCAAGCAAATAGCTATATTGAGTCCTTAACTATCAATAATTACTTGAACGTAAATGGATTAAATTTCCTAATGAAAAGACATAGAGTAGCTAAATGCATTTAAAAACAAGCTGCAACTATATATGCTGCCTATAGCAGACACACTCCAGCTCTAAGGATACACACAGAATGAAAGTAAAGGGATGAAAAAAAGATGCCCCATACAAATGGAAAACAAAAGAGGGTAGGGGTGGCTATAGACTTTTAGTCAAAAATTATAACAAGAGACAAGAAGGTCATTATATAATTATAAAGGGGCCAATTCATCAAGAGGATATAAAAATTTTAAGTACATATGCACATAATGTCAGAGCACCTAAATATATAAAGCAAATATTAACATAACTGAAGGGAGAAATAGACAGCAATATAATAATAGTAGTGGACTTCAGTAACCCATTATCAACAATGAATAGATCATCCACACAGAAAATTAATAAGAGAGAAAATAAAGTTACCAAGAATACACAATAGGGAAAGGATAAATGTTATTGGGAAAACTGGATATCTATATGCAAAAAAAAGAAAGAAATTGGCCCTTATCACATACTATACACAAAGATCAATTCAAAATGGAATAAAGACTCTAATGTAAGACTTGACACCGTAAAACTCCTATAATAAAACAGGGAAAAGTTCCATGACATTGGTCTTTGCAAGTTTTTTTATATGACACCAAAAACACAGTAACAAAAGCAAAACTAAGTGATATCTCATCAAACAAAATTGTTTCTGAACAACAAAGGAAACAATCAACAAAATGAAATCCAACTCACAGAATGGGAGGAAATATTTGCAAACCATATATCTGAATAAGTGGTTAATATTTGTCTTAATCTGTTTCAGTTGCTTACAGCAATATCTGAAACTGGGTAATTTATAAAGAAAAGAAATTAGGCCGGGCGCAGTGGCTCCCGCCTGTAATCCCAGCACTTTGGGAGGCCGAGACGGGCGGATCACAAGGTCAGGAGATCGAGACCATCCTGGCTAACACGATGAAACCCCGTGTCTACTAAACATTCAAAAAATTAGCCGGGCGTGGTGGGCGCCTGTAGTCCCAGCTACTCGGGAAGCTGAGGCAGGAGAATGGCCTGAACCCGGGAGGCGGAGCTTGCGGTGAGCCGAGATTGCGCCACTGCACTCCAGCCTGGGTGACAGAGCAAGACTCCGTCTCAAAACAAAAAAAGAAAAGAAATGTATGATTATTTCTTACAGTTATGGAGGATGGAAAGTCCAAGGCTGAGGGGGCGCATGTGGTGAGAGCCTTCTTGCTGGTGGGGACTCTCTGCAGATTCCTGAAGTGGTACAGGGCATAACATGGCAAGGTGGCTAACATGCTATGATTAGGTCTTTCCTCTTCTTATGAAGCCACCAGTTCCACTTGCGTGACAACTCATTAATCCATTAGTGGATTAATCCATTTATGTGGGTAGAACCTTCATGATATAATCACCTCTTTAAGGCCTCACTTCTCAATGCTGTCACATTGAGGATTAAGTTTCAACATGAGTTTTGGAGGGGACATTCAAACCACAGCAATATCCAAAATATATAGGGAACTCATACAACTCAAAAGCAAGATACAACTCAAAATACAGCTCAAACAAACTGATTTTAAAATGGACTAAGGACCTAAATACAGGTTGGTTCACTGCACAAAGGGCTAAGGGAATTGAAATCCCCAGCAGTGTCTCTGGGGTGGGGCTGCATTCACCTGGAGGAAGGAACACCTTTTCCTAATATGCACCAAAGCAACCTGTAGGCTACTGGAGGCCTTGGACAGCCAGGGAGGGATTTTGGGGTAGTTCATTTTTGTGTGGTTGACAGAGTTGACAGCAAGCAAAGTGACTCAGTTACTTTCTCTTTTCTTTCCTCAACTCTCCGGAATCTATATACTTGTAGAGTGTGTGTGTGTGTGATTATTTCCACATCCACAATCTCATAACCTTATAGTTCTGGTGTAGCTGGTGGGCGTAGTGTGGACAACTTTAGTGGCTTCCAATAAGAATGAGAGGTAGCTCTAGTGGTACTTGTTGAGTTCTGGAGATAGGACTGGTCAGAGAGAGAGAAAGAGGGAATTACCTCAGGTAATCCACCCACTTTGGCCTCCCAAAGTGCTGGGATTACAGGCGTGAAACACCGTTTTTAAAATCCCCATAGAACCATGAGAAACAAGTAACATTATTATAAAACAGAGAATGTGTTTTGTACTTGATTCCCACCAGAATGACTACTAAGTATGGAAGGAGAGCACTCATTTTCAGAAAAGAAGCTGAAAAAAAATACCGTTGTCTTTACATTTCTAAGTAGATCTTTAACTATACTTTAGTAAAATATCAAATGATATTATGATTCAACATAATTTAAATCAATTACAAAGTATCAATATTACTATTTGCTTTTACACTTTCATGAAAACAACAGTGATGACTAGTTTTTCATGTAATTTGCTTTGTCTCTAGATTTCTTAGAAAGTCTGTTTCCATGACATCACTAAGAAATAAGTCTTAGATCATAGGATGCACATTCAATCGCAATCAATATACACATTTGTATTCATTATAATTTGCCATATTGTCGTTGAACTTGAATTCTCAATCAGCTGAGTAAATATTTTACCATTCCTTCTTTTATTTGACCTCAACTTACCTTATAACTATATTCCTTTGTTTTAATGTTTGCATGCATAGTTTGTTATTTCTTCTCACTACATGTATTTACCTTAATTAATCTTTGTCTGGTTTTTTATGTCATTAAACTTACAAATTCAGCCATGAGGAGATTTTGTCTCCAGTTTCCTGCCTAACTGGGTATTTGAGGGTGTTGATTGGGTAATTCTCTGTAGTGATACCAAAACTACAGGAATAGAATATCCAAATTGATTTTTCTTCCTTTCGTTTGTGTTTTCAGAGGGATCCAAAGGAGACTACAGTAAGTATTATCTTGTTTCTCAACAAAAATGTGCTTCCCATTAGTAACATTTCCCTAGATTGTAAACGCTTTGGAGGAAAGAGAAATCCTGTCATATGTCAAGTCATGTGAATACTAAGCAATAGATAAAGTTTTCTAGTGCTGGTTTAGAATGATCTGGCTGGGAGAAAAGGAAAACAATAGAAGAAGTGATGAGCAAGAGAAAAGGAAAGTAATAAAGATAAAAGGGACAGAGGGAAGAAAATACAGAGGGAAAAAGGGGAGGGAGGAATTAGGGCAGTAGGAATGGCATCTGCCTACTAAAAATTAAACCCATTTGTAGAGATGGAAAGCATATGCAGTAGCTGGTGGGAGTGGCCATCAGCACCCATCACCAGATCAGTGATGACTCCCAGGGCCTAGGCTTTAACTCCTGAGAAGGGGGTAACAGCAACTGAAGCTGATATGCAAAGATTAGGGATCCAAATTCTCATGATTCACCTCATGTTTTCTGTGTGTGTATTTTAGCACCATCAACCAACTCTCTAGGTAAGTGCTTTGTGGTTTTCTTTCAATTCTACTGTCATCTGGTTTGCAAGCCATATTGTTTCTGTATTTTTTCTCTTTTAAGAAAGATTTTAAAATTAAGTATAAAAATAATTAACACTTGTATATCCACACCTTACATGTGACAAATTGATAATATTCTTGTCATATTTCTCAACTTATTATAGACATATTCTACTCCCTTCTTCCCAAAGGCTTATTAATATACTTTAAATATTTAAGTCTATTTACATATATTTATAGTCTCTACCTATCACTGAACAAAATGTAGTATTATTTTTTAGATGTTTAATTTTACAAAAAATGGCATCTGTCTGATAGTATCATTGTGGTTTGCATTTTTCTCTCAAAATGTAATTTTGAAATCCAGGTGATACACTTTGTTGAACAATATTCCACCCTATGAATATACAATATTTTTCTATTATTTTCTCCTACCGATGCATTCTCAATGTTTCCAGTTTCTGCTATCACAAATAATGCTGCAAAGATAGTCCTTAAGTAGATGGAAAAGAGTTTATCCAGGGTACATACCCTGAAGTAGGATTAGTGATCACATTGTAGATGAGCATTTATGTAATTTATGCATAGTTTAAATTTTACTAGCTATTAATGAATTAAGCTCCTTGGTAGTTACATAGAGGCATACAGAAACAAATAAAAGTTTCCAATGTCTCTGCATTAGTAACAATCCCAGATTTTGTCATATTTTTCTATTATTGGCACTTGAATACATGTACAATTTTTAAAATCTGCATTCCCTGCTCACTCCTGAAATTGAGTATCTTCTCATAGGCTTACTAGCTAGTTAGGTTTCACCCTACATAAATTGCTTGTTCATTTACTTTACTCATTTATCTATCAGTTATTGATCTGTAGTAATTCTTTATTATTATGAAAGATCAACTTTTATATGTTATGTTAAATATTTGCAATTATCTCCTCCAATTCTATCTCTTAGCTTTAAATTTTTATGGTGTCTCTTGACTTTTAGAAGGCCTCCACTCACTCTCCCCCAACACCACACAATTTATTGTAATAAAATTTGTCAATCTCTTGTTTTCTTTTAGAGTTTCTCCTTTTTTGTTTGTTTGGCCTTACCTCGGTATCACAAAGATTTTGTCTAATACTTTCTCTTAATAGTTTTTAAATTTCCCTTTCTGCATATAGGCCTTTAATCCAAATGGGGTTTTGTTAATTGTTTTTTGGTTTTGGTGAGTGATTTCAGAAATAATACAGGTGAGATCTAATTTTCCGCTCATCTGGAAAACCAACTAGATGGATTTCTTCTCATCTTGTTCCAGCTAGATTTATTGACTGGTGTGTTTTTTCTCTGCTGATTTGTAATGCCATCTTCATCTTATATATTTGGTTTTTCCATGAATTTTACTTTCTGTTCCAGTGATCTTTTGTCTTTTACTGAACCAATACTACATTGCTTTCACTACTAAAACTGTAAAACATTTATTATTTAAAAATAGCACATTATCTTTGTTCTTTTTCAGAAATGTGTTGGCTATTCTTCGACCTTTTCTCTTACACAAGAATTGTATAATTTCTCAAGATCCATAAGAGTCATATTAGGATTTCACTGAAATTTCATTGAGTCGGTAGATTAATTTGTAAAATCAGTTCTTCCCATGCATTAACATGGTTGCCTACTATTCAAATTTTCTCATATACCCTTCAATAATGTAATATAATTTTCTTCAGAAAGGTTTTGCATATCTTTTGTTGGATTAATTCTTATACAAATACTTGTTTTTTGTTTCTGATGTGAATACTATCTCTCTATGTGGATTTTACAAATAATTATTGTTGGAATATAAGTTATATGCTGTATATCTGAGAGTAGATTTTGTATCTAGCCACCCTGCTGTGCTCTTAGAGTTCTAATAACTTTTAGATTCTCTTGAATTCTATATGTAAAACATCATGTCAACTGCAAAATCTGATAATCTTGAGTTTCCTTTTCCAATTCTTAAAACCATTTTCTTGTCATAGCTTGGGCTATGTATATCTATGGGTAAAATTCCTTCTCTTTACTTTTGCTTTATTTTTGTTCCTTTTTCTAGCTTGCTATATGAAACTTAATTAATTTCCAGACTTTCTTATCTTCTTTTTTTATTTTATTTTTATATGGGATACTTTACAAATTTGCGTGCCATCCTTACACACGGGCCACACTAACCTCTGCATCATTCCAATTTTAGGATATATGCTGACAAAGCAGACGCTCTTATTTTCTAATATAAATATCTAAGTAACTTCTAAATGCTGCTGAAACTCATGTCCTCATATCCACTCATATCCTCATGACTATTTTTTGACTTAAATTCTACACTGTCTGATATAAACATTGTTCTAACAACTTTGTTTTAATTAGTATTTTCCTATTATACATATTTTCCATCCTTTTATTTTTAATCTTAAGAGTTTGTTTTTGTCTTGTGTCTTTTTTAAATGGCATATTGCTTGACTTTGTTCATATTAACAATGGAAAATTTTCCATTCCCTAATAGATGAAGGTAACTCATTTTATATTGTGAATTTTTATATGTTTATCTAAATGTTTCTTTTTTTTTTTTTTTTTTTTTTTTTTTGAGACGGGGTCTCGCTCTGTCACCCAGGCTGGTGTACAGTGGCGCAACCTCAGCTCACTGCAACCTCCACCTCCCGGGTTCAAGCAATTCTTCTGCCTCAGTCCCCCGAGTACCTGGGACTATAGGCGCCCACCACCATGCCCAGCTAATTTTTGTATTTTTAGTAGAGACGGGGTTTCACCATATTGACCAGGCTGGTGTCGAACTCCTGACCTTGTGATCCCCCTGCCTTGGCCTCCCAAAGTGCTGGGATTACAGGTGTGAGCCACCACACCCAGCCAATGTCTCCAATTTATATTGTGTTTTCCACTTACAGTACTATGCTTTGTTCTTTCATTTTTAAATCTTCTTTCCTACCTTCTGCTGGTATATTAGATTTCCTTTATAAACAAGCCTGGATGACTTTCATATCACTTCTAACAACATTAGATTGACTAGAACTCAATCATATAGCCACACCTAACTACAAGGGAATTCTGGGGAAATAGTCTAACCATGTTGTATTAGTTTTCTACAGCTGCTCTAACAAATTACCACAAACTTAATGGCTTAAAACAACACAAATTTATTATCTATCAATTCCATAGTTTATAAATCTGTCATATATGTCTCACTGGACAACAATCAGGTTGTCAGCTAGACTGTATTCTTTCTGGATGTTCTAGGAACAAATCTGTTTCCTTGCTTTTTCAGCTTCTAGAGGCTGACCACATTCCTTGGTTCATGGCTCCCTTCTTCTGTCTTCAAAGTGAACAAAAATAAATCAAGTCCTCACTTCACATCATTCTGCCCTTCCTCCATCGTAATACCTCTTTCTCTTTCTATCTTTCTCTCTTCTGTCTCCTGCTTGCACTCTTAAAAATCTTTGTGATTATATTGGGCCCACTCAGATATACCAAGATCATCACCCTACTTTAAGGTGAGCTGATTAGCAACTTTAACTTCATCTGCAATATTAATTCCCTTTTCCCATGTAACCTAACACATTAAACAGGAAGATAATCCCAGGTTCTTACAATGCATGAGGCCTGTGGCCTTGATTTCTGCTGGTGATCAGGTGTTTAAGACTCAGTCCTCCAATAAGATATCACATGGGTGGTGAAACTTCTCATTCATTACCAAGAATATGAGTTCCTTCTTGATATATTTTTCTTGAATATATTACTTCTCTTTTTAGTTTTCAAGTTCAGTTCTACTTTATAAACTTTAAAAACTACCGTGTTCAGAGTAGTCACTTAAAGGAGAGGATGAAATATCCCCCTCTATAGCAAGCACCCTTTCAGTAGGCCCTGAGGTTCTAAATACTTTCACTACTTTGACTCTTTAGCTTCTAATATTATTCAAAAACTTCCTGATTTTGGTCTCTTGCTATTCTTCATCTCCATAGGGCACAAGTGAATTTTGGAAAGTGGAAATCCCTGTTGAAGCAGTTAGGTGGTAATTGTTTGGTGTAACAAAAAATATTTTCGAACAAAGGTAAAAAAAGAAAATTAAAGGAGAGAGGAAGAGGTGAAAGAAAGGTAGAGAAGGAAAGAGCAAAGCAGCAGAATCACCAATGAAAGAAGACTTATAGGGACAGAAAAATGTCCATAGATTGAGAAGCTAGCAATCTCCAAAAATATTTTTATTCTGTTACTCACCAAAATTGAAAGATAGGTTGCATAGATCTTGTAGTCCCACCTTACCACAAAAGTATTTCAGTCCATATGTAGATATCCAGCTGCTCACCACATTGCATTGCAATTGATAACAGGAAATGAGTTGTGACTCATTTCTATCCTCTTTCCCACAACTTTTCTGCAATATAGTGTCTATGGCATCTAAGTTCTCCCTGGGACAAACAGAACTCATTCTTGTTTTGATGTGTTTTATTTTAGCACTGTCTCGATCAAGTATTGGTAAGTTCCTTTACTTGTCTTCAATTCTGCTGACATTTAGCCCCATTTAATCAAGAGGATATCTTCCTAAACTTCCCAGACTTCTTCACTGAAGCACAGCAGAAGTTTGAACTTCACGTTTATCCAATTTCTTTGTTCTCCATAACCAGACACCTCAATAATCAGTCAAAAGTAAATGCAAGTTTCTAGTGGTTTATTATGATGACATGAAGAGAGCAATTTCCAAACCTGAAGTGTTGGAAAAACAGAGTAAATAAAGAAGGATGAGAGCAAAAAGTTAGTAAGAAAAATAAGGTGAGGATGAAGATAATATAGAATGAGGGATAAATGATATTAGCTGTGTCCTCAGAATTTCAAAGCTTTGCATGGCTAGCCGGAAAGAGCAGCCTTCCCTGAGGCATCCCCAAGTCAGGCTGGCAGCAATGGAAGAGATGGCTAATTCCCTATCTCCCTGAGCTGCAACTGACACTAAGGGTTTGGTGCTCCCAGGTATTCTTGGTTCCGATACTCATCCCTGCCCTGTCTCCTGCAAAAAAAAAAGAAAGAAAGAAATGGATAGTTTTTGAGCCAGACAACCATATGAATTTTTTGTTTGTATTTATTTTTAGGAGAGCAAGGGGGAAATTTTCATATTTCCAAATTCTAAGTCTCTTTGCTGTGTCACAGAACTAAAGAACATTCCCTAACCTGCTGAGCTCTTGTCCCTCACCTCCTTTTCCTTCCCCATCATTGAGCGTTTTGTCTAAAATTAATGAGACCTTCAAAGAATGAGAAGTCCACTGATTAAAGAATAAAGAGAGGATTAAAATGGTTTTAGCTGGCAATCATAGTTTCAGCAAAACAGTAATAGCTTCATTAACTTAGGAATAGGAGGGAAGAAGAGGTTTGTGAAGAGACCAGGAAATGGGAGTAGGGGACAAGGAGAGGGTTGTAATTAAAGTGGGTCGTGTTCCTTGACTATTTACAGATATTACACATGAGGAAAAAATGAATTTTAAAGATATTATTTAACTTGACCAAAGGCATATAGCTAGTAAAAGAGTAAAACTGAGGTTCTAAACACTGGGCTTTGGACTCCAAGTCCTGAGCTTGTCCAGCTACCCCCAGGACATCATTAAATATATTTACTCTTCCAATCCAAAGTATTCTTTGGAAACAAAATGTTTGTTCCAAGGAATTTAGAAAATTATGCATATGTTAAAAATATATTACTTCAATTTTTAAAATGTAATTTGAAAATCTTAAAATGTAAATTAATATAAAATATCAGAATTAGTGTGCTAATCCAATACTGTGCCATAACCTTATCCCATGAATAAGGCTGTTTTAGTGTATATATAACTGTTAACAGGTGCCCTTAGAAAGCTATTAAGCTCAATATTTTATTACTTCTATGATTAAAACATGTTTTATCTAGTATTGGTTTGTTTTCATCTAACTTACAGAAAGGGTAAAATATTTGGGGGTTGAAACATGCTAAACAATAAACTCAAATCTTCAATTTACCCAGCAAAATCTGAAGAGGACCCATGTGAGACAGGCTTGCCATAAAAACCCTCCAAAGGGGAAATTTCGAGCATTGCAGCTGCTATGCCTAAGACAATATAAGTATTGTCAATATGACAATCTAAGTATTTCATAGACAGCATAGATTCTAGTGAGGTAAGACAGAAAATAAACACGTAAGCAAACAAATACAATAATTTCCCTTTCTAGATTAATTCCTATCATGATTATTAGACTATCATAGTACATTCTACGGAGAAAACAAATTAAGATAATATGATACAGCAGGACCAAGAAGTGAGGGCCGTTAGCTAGGAGATGGAAAGAAATTTCCCTGAGGAGATATTTGAACTGACACTGAATGGTGAAAAGGTGGCAGCCACAGGAGGATCTTAGGGAAGAGTATCTCAGGCAGAAAGAACACCAAGTTCCTGAAAGGGGAAGAAGAGTAGCTTGTATGAGAGATTGCTGAAAGCCAGTTGTGAATGATGGTGGAGGAGTCTGAAAGGTAGGGAGAGGCCAGATCACAAAAAGTCTTTTAGAATAAAATATGGAGAACACTTCTGAGCACCACAATAAGCCATTGTTTTCATCAGGGAAGGGATAAAGCCACATTTATGCTGTAAAAAGGCAACCCTGTCTTCTGGTAGAGAATGAAATGGGAGAGAATGACCATCATATTTATTTATGATAGCAACAAGGAGAGAGGTACAGAGTAAAGTCTCATATTGCTTCAAAGACAACAGGGGTTTCTACTGGAGAAGATATTGTTTGGAAACAGCAATGGGGAGCAAAAATGACATTTACCTACATTCAGGCATGTATATGGGTATGGACTTTTTCTAAACGAACAAACAAACAAACAAAAAACCAGACGTCACAGCCTCAACAACAGAGTGAGACCCTCTCTCTACAATGAATAAAAAATTAGCCAGCATGGTGGCGTGCACCTGTGGTCCCAGCTACTTGGAAGGCTGAAGTGGGAGGATCGCTTGAGCCAAAGAGGTCAAGGCTACAGTGAGCTGTGATTGCACCACTGCACTCCAGCCTGGGTGACAGAGTGAGATCCTGTCTCAAAAAAAAAAAAAAAATCACTAAGAGGGCTGTAAGAGACATGGTTTTTTAAAAATGTTATCATTTTTAATTGACAAAAATGTATATATTTATGGTATACAACATAATGTGTTGATATATGTATACACTGTAGAATGACTAAATCAAGCTGTTAACATATCCATTTCCTCACATACTTTTTGTGGAGCGAACTCTTAAAATCCACACTCTTAGCAAATGTCAAGTATAACACATTATTAACTATAATCACCATGTTGTACAAAAGATCTCCTGAATGTATTGCTCCTATCTAACTGAAACTTTGTGTCCTTTGAGCAACATCTGAGATACAGTTTTGTTTTTGTTTTTGTTTTTGTTTTTTTTGAGATAGAATCTCACTCTGTTGCCCAGACTGGAGTGCAGGGCGCAATCTCGGCTCCCTGCAACTCCACCTCCCTGCAACTCCACCTCCCTGCAACTCCACCTCCCGGGTTCAAGCAATTCTTGTGCCTCAGCCACCCAAGTAGCTGGGATTACAGGTGTGCGCCACCATGTCTGGCTAATTTTTGTATTTTTAGTAGAGACAGGGTTTAGCCATCATGCCCAGGCTGGTCTTGAACTCCTGGCCTCAAGTGATTTGCCCTCCCCGGCTTCCCAAATTGCTGGGGTTACAGGCATGAGACACTGCACCCAGCCTTTAAATTTTAATCTATTAAAATTTAAATATTTTAAATTAAAAATATTTTAAACACCTCAAATATTTAAAATACTTGACAGTATTTTAAAGGACAGTCAGGCATATTAAAGCAAGATGGTGAAGAAAACGTTTGGAGAAGTTCAAGATATAGGAAAATTTGCTGATATGAATTTCTGACAGCATGGTGTGTTTTAGAGAGTAAGGAGAGGTGGAAGGAACGTCCAATTAGGAATTTAAAAAAGCATTATGATAATAAGCATCCTTAAGATGAGGATTATCTTCAGATGGTCAGTAAATTAAATGAGGATGTGACCCATTTGGGGATTAATCTCAGAGGATGATGAGTAATTAGTTACATAGAGTATTTAGCTGAAAGATGCATAGGCCCACCAGGAAGCTATTCATCCCTGAAGCTCAAGATGATATGTGGTCCTAAAGAATGGATGAGGCCCTCTTGAGAGATAATTCTCATAGGCAATTCACTGGACTGTGGTAACTGGAGAAAGGGCCTCTCAAACCAGGACCTCAAAGGACTTGATCCTATTATTTCTTTGAAAATCTAGAACTAGCATAGTGCCCAAGATAGAGGAGGCTGCGGTCCATTACCCATACATGTATAAACAGATAAGGACTGCAATCTGAAATGATGATATAATAATATGTGTTGAGAATTATGCTCCAGGCTCTGTCCTAAACACTTCTTCATAATAATCCTAGGAAGTAGATATTATTATAAATTCTATTTTTAAAATGAATAAACTTAGGCATAAAAAAAAAACAGGCAGAGTAACACAGCTAGTAAGTAGGGGAACCAGGATTCAAACCCAAGCATTCTAGTAGTTGACGGGCCATTGTACTTAATGAGACCTAATCAAGGGTCCCCTTTCTAAAATGATTTCGGTGAGAATTGTATACTTTGTAAACCAATTAACTCAGACTGATGTGGATTTTTATTATTATTCCTCAGTGCCAACTCCAGGAATCATATTTCAGTTTATTTTCTATTTCTAATTTAGGAAAGAGAAATGAGAGCAAGCAGATAATAAGAAGGAAGTACATAGGGAAACTAAGGAAAGTTTAATCAAGCCTAAGGTCCTCCACCTCCTCAAAACAAGTAGAGGAAAAAGAAAAAAAAAAAAAAACTAAGGGCGAAGCATGGTGGCTTACACCTGTAATCCCAGCATTTTGGGAGGCTGAAGTAGGAGGATCCTGGAGGCCAGGAACTCAAGACCTGCCTGGACAACATAGTGAGGCTCTGTCTCTTCAAAACAATTAAAAGAATTAGTAGGGCATGGTGGCATGCCTGTAGTCCTAGCTACACAGGAGGCTGAGATGGGAAGATCACTTGAGCCCAGTAGTGAGAGGTTACAGTGAGCTATGACAGAACCACTGAACTTTAACCTGGGCAACAGAGTGAAACCCTGTCCCAGAAAAAAAAAAAAAAAAAGACTAAGGTCTTCCAAGTTTTCTTAAGAGTTTCAACCTTTACAAAGGCTGAGAAGAAAAGGAAAAGGGAATCACCTTCTCTGCTCATCGTCAGTCCTACATGTCATTCTGGGCCTTGGCCACACCACCAGAGTACAAGATGCCTAAACAATCCATGAAAAAAATCACACTACAGCTGGCATAGAGGATCTGATGCCCCCTGGGGAAGGTAGTGTGAGGGATGTTTTTTCTGATCTTCTTTTCAAAGGGGGATTAACGCTGATGCTTTTAAGCAATTGATGTGCTCTTAGAGATGTGGGTATTTAACACAGTTTACAAGGGAATTGAGCAAGTTCTTGGTGGTTTCAGTACCATAAACCCTTGTTTGTCTAGGGACCTCGTCCTCCTTATTTGCCTCTTTCTAGGCAGGCCTTATTTCTAGAAAGTCAGCCTTTTTTGCTTCTCCTACCAAAATGTACCCTAAGGCTCAAAGGCCCAAGAACACAGGGCTTTAGTTTGTGAATGTAGCCTCATTGAATCATAAAAGTTGAGCAGAAGAAAAATTATTAAACCCTGTCATAGATGAGTTAAATGCAGTTCCAAAAGATGGTGAGAATTATCAAACTTTGCATAGTCATTTAACAGTCAATGTAAGACAAATAAGACTAATATCCAGACTTTCTCCACTGAATATAGTGAGGGTTCATTCTATGGTAGCTTGTACAAATTACTATCAAAGTTAATATCATTAAACCTTCTACAAGCCTTGCCCTAGAATTTAGGTTATTTTACAAGAGGAACATTTTAGAGATGAACAAAAAGAACAGAAAAAAACTGTTGGGGAGGGAAGATGGTCAGTATGTTAAAGAAAAAAAATTTTAAAGGAATGTTCCAGAAAGAAGAGAAAATTGTAAAGAATATGAAGGAAAACGTGCTGAACTTAAAGTGAAGAAAACTGGAGGCTAAAACTGCCTTTAATTTTTTGCATACTTAGGCACAGCCCTTCTCTTTCTCAATCTCGGTGTTCTTTTCTTATAAAACTAGAACCTTTGTAATATTGCCTTTCTTTGGTTCTTGAGGCTATCACATTAGGGAAAGAAGACTCTCCAAACTGAAAAGATGAAAGAAAAAGGGAGGGAGAAACGGAAAAGACAGGAGAAAGGTGGTGAATGAAATCAGAATATTGGAAATATAGTAAATCTGAATATTCCCCTGTAACTTTCACCCCTGCATAGTGTCTAAGGGGGAAAAGACATGGGACCACCTGCAAGTGTGACCACTTTATGAGCCTACCTACAGGGGAATGGAAAGTCTAATAACCTAAGGGAGGACTTATTTCCAGGAAGACTCTTGGAAAATTGATGGATTATTGAAACTTTTGACTGACTTGAATAATTGTTATTGTTCTTTAGCTTCAACTCAAGGATCCAAGAGTAAGTTTACCTTTTTGTTTCAAAATCTAATGTTGCTGGGCTCCTACACAAGGCAGAGGACTTCTCCCTGTCTTAACTATTTTCTGTTTCCTGCTATGTCAGTGTAACAGGGCTTAAGACTCATGATTCTCCACCTTGTCCTTCATTAGCCATCTTAACTGGATCATGCCCACCTTTATCACCTTTCCCCCTCTCTAAGACAATGAGACCTCCCACTTGCTTAAGCAAATTCCTTCATTCTTGCCTTTGACCACATCCTCTCACTCCCTTATTTCTTCAGAAGTCATTGCTTCTCTCTTCTACACCTTTAAATATTTTCCTTCCTTTAACTGCTTCTCTTTAAGGTATAGAACAGGTTTGATTTTCTTCCATCTTAAACAGATCCTAACTACGTCCCTCTCTAATCGCAGCCTACCTTCAAGGGAGGAAATTATGCTGTACACTCTGACTGTGGGCTTAGAAAAAAGTTATTGCTCACTTCTAATCTGAACTATACACTATTTCTCCATGAATTGAAAGTAATATAAGACCTACTAAAAATCACTTTTAAAATAAATTTGCTTGTTAATTATTTTCAATTTACAGAGGACTATTGCCTAGAAGTTCAGCATGCAGACCCTAGAGCCAGGCTAACTAGAGTTGTATCCCAGTTCCCTACTTACTATTTGTTTGAACATACGCAAGTTATTTAATCTCTCATTAAAATGTCAAGTCAGTTATATAACTAATTTCAACAACTAGTTGAAAATTAATCAAATAAAAGAACAGAGAAGAGGCTGGGTACTGTGGCTCACGCCTGTAATCATGACACTTTAGGAGGCTGAGGCGGGTGGATCACCTGAGGTGAGGAGTTCGAGACCAGCCTGGCTAACATGGTAAAACCTCGTCTCTACCAAAAATACAAAATTAGTTGGGCATGGTGGTATGTGCCTATAATCCCAGCTACTAGGGAGGCTGAGGCAGGAGAATCACTTGAACCCTGGAAGGGGAGGTTGCAGTGAGCTGGGATCGCACCACTGCACTCCAGCCTGGGTGACAGAGTGAGACTCCATCTCAAAATAAAAGAACAGAGAAGTGAGGGAAGCTGAAAAAAATGAATGGAGAAGAGAGGAAAACCAAAGAGGTAAAATTTAAATAAACCTTCTGGACTGATTTCAATTGGTTGTCCAAAAAAAAAAAAAAAAGAACACATTTTCTAAATGAAGGGAAGATTGTGACAGGAATGAGGAAGAGAGAAGTGAGGAAATCGGCAAAAAATCCAAAACAGATAACCCTGGCTGGACAGATTTTTTTTCTGATCTATGTGCTTTTCCTACAAAATTTTTCATATTGACTTTTACTTTTGTGGTTGCATATTAGGGTCACATTTCCTACTAGCAAAGTTGTTTCTTGTTCAAAGATGGAATTAAATATATCATATTTCATTATTTTTTTCTAAAAGGCATCAAAACTTCCAGATGCTTCACAGTCTGAACAAGTTTATTACTCACAGGTTTTAATTAAATGTGACCCAACCAATACCTATCCTTAAAATAATGAAAAGAAAGGGATTCACTTGCCCTATCCTGACTCAGGCCACAACCCATATGATGCTGATCTCAAACTGCACTGTTGCTGAAGTATAGATGGTGCTCACTTAAATCATCTCTTCTTATCTGAAAATACAGCTCCCAAATTAGCCAACAGTAGCCCAGTGCCACCTGTAGATGTGTTTTGTTTGGCCAGCACGGCATGATATTAAACTTTGAATTTGAATGCCTCTGAGTAGGGTATGGACTTTTCACCATCTCTATCCCTTATAACTCTAGCAGATTCACAATCATGAGACCTGCTGGACCCCTTAATGCAAGTGAGTTTGTGATCCCCACAAAGATAATGAGGAATCCTGTCTGGTATGGAAAATGTGGTACTCTCTAAACGAACTAACTTGGATGTTCCCATTAGGAAGAATATCCACAGAGACCGTGTCCTTAATCCAAAACACATAATATTCAGTATTTTGGCAGGATATGTACATCCTAAGTTTTTTTATCTGCTTCTTTGCTCTGTAAGGCAACAAGTAAATGCCTTTCACTGTCCCACTTATTGGTCTTCAGCTGGGAAACACCACAAAATACTCAGTTCAAGAATTTCTCTTCTTGGCCCAGTACGGAGGCTCATGCCTGTAATCCCAGCACTTTGGGAGGCCGAGGTGGGGTGATCACTTGAGGCCAGGAGTTTCAGACCAGCCTGGTCAACATGGCGAAACCTCATCTCCAATAAAAATACAAAAATTAGCTGGGCATGGTGGCACATGCCTGTAATTCCAGCTAATCAGGAGGCTGAGGCACAAGAATGCCTTGAACTCAGGAGGCGAAGGTTGCAGTGAGCCGAGATTGTGCCACTGCACTCCAACCTGGGTGACAAAGACTGTCTCAAAAAAAAAAAAAGAGAAAAGAAAAGAAAAGAAAAATTCCTTTCTCCTCATTATTCCATATTACTTTAGGTCAGGAATGGAATATATATGACCTGTGTTACATTTCTGCTCATGCCTTTGCCTATGGCAGACATCAATAATTGATCATGATTCTCTTACCTGCTCAGCCCACACGTATCCTAAAATTCTTCTCATCTCCAGATAGTCATTACTAATTGATCAAAATTAAATATGCATAACTCAAGTATAATTGTCACTCCTAACATAGGTTAATATCTTAAATCTTAAAAATCTTAAGTATAGAAAACTGTCCTTTTAAAATTATCCTTATTTGGTGGTGGAAGTGGCTTCACCTTCTCAAGAAACTGACAGTTCAGTGATTAATGGCCTAAAATACCACATAGAAAAACAGACATCTCTTTCCAAATGCTGAGGGTAGATCCTGTTGTTTCTGGGGAAAGCTACCATTTCCCTCCCAAAACAGCAATGTAACAAATAAGCGAAAAATAATTATACACAAAGAAGGAAACACATTATTCAATTATTTTAAGATAAAAAATTGCAAAATTTTCAACATCTTAAAATATGATTGGTTATTTCTCAAGACAGAAAAAAGAGAGATTAAAATGACATAATTAAGGTACTAAGGTACACAAGAAGATAGGGTTATTTTAAAGATTAAAATAACACAAATTAATAAATCAAAAATAAAAACACAATTAAGTGCACATTATAATGCTCTGCTGTCAGGACTCAGAACTTTTCAAATGACAGTCAGAAATAAAAGGAAAAAATAAAGCAGAAAAAAAGTAAAATAAAGTAGCTTACTACTTTGCCAAAGTATTTCATTCGTTTATAGTTACTGAATATTTCTTTCCATAACATTTCTAATACAACTTTTCAGCTTTCCTTTCTGTTATTACTCCTGATTTTTCACTGCAACTTCACAATATAAGTAAGATGGGGGACACCACTTCTGTTTTAGAGATGAGAAAATTAATGTTCAAAACATTTAGTGACTTGCCCAAAATCACAGAGCTAAAGAATAGCAAAACTGGGACTCAGGTCTTTAACCTCAAGACTGTTTGTACCACACCTGGGGAGGAGGAGGAGGGAATGGGATTATCTATCTCCATGCCTTCTGAAAGTCTAAATCTAATTTAGTCTAAAGTCTAATCTAAATCATATCTAATAATATACTTTTCAATTTTTATTATAGGTAGTATAAAATGTTTAAAAACAATTGAAGAACCTCTCTGTAAGTTTCCCATATACACAACTCAGTCCTTTTTTTACTGACTCCTAATAATTGTACAAATTTATGGGATATATGTGATATTTTGATACATGCATACCAAGTGTAATGATTTGGATGTTCTACAATGTGCCTGCTACCAGAGGAATGGGGAGGGTGGTGAGAAGGCACATAAAGGTGGAGGAAAGGAGAAAAACTTGCAATTTTACTGTTCTCTCTTTCTTTTACCAGTATGAGGAATTTGAGGCTGATTTCAAGATCCTATAAGTGACTGATTAATTTTTTCATTTAGCAAAGGGGAAATTCTTATAATAAAAACTAGATTAATTAATGAAATTGTGAAAAAGATTCTGGGGCCAGGGAAAATTATCTATAATCTTTAGAAGGATTTGACATCAGGAAGATAATGAAAATTAAGAATAATAACTGCAGGAAGTATGATTTTCACAGTCTCCTAAGGAAAAAAGGAAAATGCTTACTTACCTTCTTGCTGCCTTTCCATGTAAATCAAATATGTAGTAAATGCTTGATCTGAAACTCCCTGAGATAAACACCCTTGAGTCATGCTGTCTCTAAACTCACCTTTTTTGTTTGTATTTTAGCCAGAACTGCAGGAGCCATTAGTAAGTTGCTTTTCTGCCCTTTAATTCTCATGTGCTTTGCTCTACTAAACTGTTAGAATATGTAAGACATTCATATTTCTAGGTGTTTTTGTTTCTTTCACAAATTGTTCATTCTTTTCCCCTTCTTTATTCTCTATTCTTATCTTAATAAACTGTGGTGCCTCTGTAAGAAAGTACTATTACCTTTAACTTTTCCAAACTCTTGAGATTCAACAGCAAAGAGAAAAGAGTGAAAAACAAAAAATGGTCAAGTGAAAGGAAGAAAGATTCCCCTGTGAGAAAACTCAGTAACACTCAAAGAAAGAGGCTTGATGGTGGCCATTCCACTTAAGACCCACCAAGAAAATTTCAGTGACATGCAGTGAGTCCCAGCTCACTGACCGAGGATCCCAGACTGTCACTGATGTTTGTGTGGGATGTATATCCCCTGCTATGAACAAAGAATAAATCTGAAAGAAGTATCCAGATAGAATTTTAAATGAAACTGTAGCATACACCTCTGGAAGAAGCATTGGTTGGGAATAGAAAATAAGGGATAAGTGAGAGGAAATTGGTTTAAAAAGGAAAAAAATAATGGTAAATGGAAACAATGACTTTTATATGATCTGAGATTTTAGCCGCCCTTTATGACCTTGATGCTTAAAGTGAATCCAAGGACCTGCATCAACATCACCTTGGAGTTTTAGAGATGCAGAGTCTGAGCCTGTTGCCCACCCCTGACCTACTAAGTCAGACTTTGCATTTTAATAAGATGCCCAGGTGATTTGCGTGCATACCAAAGTTTAAGAACCATTGCTCTACAGGATTTTAATTCTCTGCCCCGAGAGAGGAAATAAAAAGATGAATGCACTTGGTCCAAATTTAACCAGCTTTTCCAGCCCTGGCCAATTTCCCACACCAAGAGTGATCTTAAAGTCAAAGACAAGAAAGATGAAACTCATCAGGGTTTAATTCACTTTCTAACACATTTCCATCCTTCAATTTTGAGGATGTTCAGAGCTTGAGCCCCTGACGCAGCACTAACTCTGAAGGAAAGAGAAAAAAAGTGATTTGAGAATTAAAGCTCATGGTATATCACATCCTGTGTCTACTCCTCTTGGAGTATTTATACAAATGAAACATTATTAAAATAATCAAGTCAAACTTTGAGAGCAAATACTGGGTAGGTATCATAAAAGCACATATTAGGCCAAGCACAGTGGCTCATACACGTAATCCCAGCACTTTGGGAGGCCAAGGTGAGAGGATCACTTATAGCCTGCGAGGTGCATGAGGTGTAGAGAGGTGTGGTGGGGTGTGTGCATGTGTGTGTGTGTGTGTGTGTGTGTGTGTGTGTATGTGGTCGTAAATAAGAAGACTGTTACTGCATTATTAACAAGTATGTGGGTCTAGTGTCTCAATTCCTTTGCCCACTACTCATACCTATAAATGTCTTAAGTCAACCTAGCAGTTTCTATTCCCTCTTATATGGCAGGCCAAGTTACTCTGTTGAATATGGGCCAAAATCACTACAGAGACAGAAATTCCCACTCTCTCCTTCAGAAGATGAGGCTATAGATTCTAGCTAAGCAAGTTCAAATTAGCCAGCTGGAAGACAGGCAATGGCCTGTGTAATCTACTGAGCTACAAGCAGGACACCCATCGGGAAAGGGGAAGGAACGCTGCCTGACCAAATGTGCATCCCTACAGTTCCAGCTGGCAGATTCCAGCAGTAACCGGGGTCCTCCAAGATGAAGAAGGAAGCATTTGTAAACTTTATTTGTTCCTCCACGGAAGTGGAAATTTTGCTCCTGGTGTCTACATTTGTGATGTTTTCCCAGAAAGAATTTTAATGCAAACAGTATTTTCTCATTAGTTCTATTTTGTTTTTTCCATATTTTAGCTGGAACTATTAGACCTATAAGTGAGTTCCTTTTCTGTTTCCTCTAACATTCTTTGGCCTTCTGTGGGATATGGGGTCCTCTCCACATCCTAACTGTTACCATTTCTACCCCTACAGGATTTCTCACTCATACTTCTTAATTGTATTCAAATCTTCTGACACCTTCTGATGCCCAAGCCATCAGACACAATATCCTGAATTGTTACTGAATTTAGGATAAGGGAAAGCCACATAATTCATGTTTAAAATTGTATTTTAATTATTTATATTTATTATTTTTTAGTTACCTAAATTTCTCATTTAAGATGGATGTTGAATGATTTAAACTGGTAGGAAGGTTATGCAGCTTCCAGGCTAAGATTATCTGCAGTCCCACAGTAGTTGTTCTCCTCTGGTTGAATTGTTTCATAGTTTATTTAGAAACAATACCGGTAACATGAAAATTCTGTTAATGTCAAACCACACTTTCCTCCTTTTTGTATTTCAGTGCAATTCACAGCCCCTATTCGTAAGTATCAAGTTTGTTTTTCCACTGTGGTCCCTTTGATATCTGACCTACGAGGTCTTGGGGCCTGATCTGCTCTGCATTTTTCTAAACAATTTCAACTTTTATTTTAGATTCAGGTGGTGCATATGCAGGTTTGCTAATGGGTATATTGTGTGATGCTGAGGTTTAGGGGTGACATGCTTTTTAAACACTGTCTTTCTCAATTCCCCTAGCATTCCTGTTACATAGTTTGCAAAGAGGCCATCCACGAAGTGTTAAGAAATCTCACAGGCTAACATTTAAAAATATAAACCAAAACAGCCCTCTTAGTAATAGTCATAATGATCCATCAGCAACGGAAGGTACATCTTTCAAATAAACCATGTCTCTAAGGAAACTGGGGACAAGGGGCAAGAAAATGTAAGAAAAATAGAGGCATAACAGATTAATATGGAGTGAGTCTTTCCCAACCCTCTGAAGATTTCCAACCATCACTGAAAGCAGGAGGAGGCCTCCATCCCTGTAGGTCCCTTATATTGTGCAACAGGGAGCCTGCCTGAGGCTCGCCACACAAGCAACTCTTGATCTTCCCGTTTCTATTTATGATACTCCCTAGAGCGAGTGTTAGGCAATGGGAATTTCCTTCACAGTGGTGAAGCATACGGATATCTTTTTCTTTCTCCCTCTCTCTCTCTCTGTCGCAGCTGGAGCTACAGGACCTATCAGTAAGTTTGCTGTCTGATTCTCCACAGTGAGCATTTTACTTTCCTGCAGTATCTTAGGGATCGCCACCTGGTTTCCATGTTGGGATTTCAAGGGTTTGGAGTTCACATTTTCTTCAACCTCTTATTTTTCTTCGACCTAGCATTTCAGTAAGTCATGATTAGCTCTGTAAACGTACACTTCACCAACAAAAACAAACTACAAAGTGGAGAATGAACCCTTGCAGATTTTCAATGGCTCCTCACCATCACACAAGGGATTTTTAGATGAGGAGGCCCTTATATGTACTAGCTTGCCATAGCAAGAAAGTCACCATTTCTACTACTCAGCTGCAGCTGAACTTGACATTAGTGATTCAGATTCCTACTGGGGAAAGTATATAAATGAAAGTACATAAATAAAAAGTATATATAAAATATATATATAGCTACTGATTTCTTTTCTCTTTTTTCTTTAGAGCTGTCTCACAAAACCATTGGTAAGTCATCTGATTCTCAATTATACCTTTTGGTACTTTACTTAGAACATCAATCTATTTTTAATTCAACTATTCATGCCCAAGGACTCAAGGATCAAGTCCTTCTGCTACCTCATAATTTCACCCAGTGCTCCTTCAGGTTGGACTCATCCAGGTTTTGCAATAAAAATATATTAACTATGAAGCTGAAACGCAAAGTGAAAAATATCCCGCTAGAGATGGTCCTAAGCTGTTTCCACTTCAGCATATAATCTAGCTCTGTAGAGCCAATATTTAATAAAGATTTAGAACCCAGCACCTAAACTTCCTGATTTTCTTTCCATGCAAATGATTTTTCCATTATTAGATAATCTTCACTTTGTAAAATAATGCAAATTTTAAGTTTTCTTTCTTTTTTTTAGGGGGGGTGCGGACAGAGTCTAGCTCTGTGGCCCAGGCTGGAGTGCAGTGGCGTGATCTCCGCTCACTGCAAGCTCTGCCTCCCGTGTTCAGGTCATTCTCCTGTCTCAGCCTCCTGAGTAGCTGGGACTACCGGTGCCCGTCACCAAGCCCGGCTAATTTTTTTGTATTTTTAGCAGAGATGGGGTTTCACTGTGTTAGCCAGGATGATCTCGATCTCCTGACCTCGTGATCCGCCCGCCTTGGCCTCCGAAAGTGTTGGGATTACAGGCTTGAGCCACCGTGCCCGGCCTTTCTTTCCTTTCTAATTGCCCTGAAAAGTTCTCTCCAGAAGAGTTAGGCTCTATTTTCAGCAACTTTTAGCAACCTAGTCACATTCTTTGAGTGATCCCTATAATGTCTTACTACTGTTTTTCTAACACTCGTGTACATTACTTTGTGGCATCTAAACAACATCACATGGCAGTGGGTAAGGCAGTTATTATCCTCGTATTTAGAAATGAGGAAACTGAGGGCCAGGAGTCATTTCTCAAAAAAATAAGAGGATGGGTTAGTTAATAAAATTAAGACTAAAGTTTTACTAACTCTTCATTCTTTCTACTATCTTTCCATTTTTGGGTGTTATAACAGGTTATTAACAGTGAACAAAATGAACTTCTAATGTTGAGATTAAAAGGTAGTAAAGGCCTAGAGGAGATAAAGTGAGAGAATGAGTAACACAAATAGTAACAGATAAAGAATGAAGATGCAGGTTAGAGAGAGATAAATAGGAGAAAATTTAAAAAGAAAAAAGTAGGAAGAAAATTGGAAGGAGAAAGAGTAAGTGAATTGGCACATAAGAGAATAAAGAAGAGAAATGAATATGTTGAGAAAGAGAATAAAAATAAAGGTACAAGAAGTCACAAATTGAAACTGGAAATGAGAAGAAAATATAGAAAAACCGAAGAAACAAAATACATTTTGAAGTGATCACCTATCCAAGGATTTAGTAACTTATGTCAAGAGGTCAGGTTTCCTAAGAGTTCTACTTCAGAATCCAAGATACATATTTGTAGATACAGACAAAGCAACTATTAGCATAATATCTAAACGTATAACTGGTCTACTGCTCATAGCCAAGGGTATCCAGATCTGGAAGCGCCACCTTCTAGGTGTTTTACACAGAAAAAAAAAAATTCAGAGTTAAAAGTTCGGGGATTATTGATCAAAACTTGAATGTTTCTCATCCTGAGTGATACTGAAGTGAAGGATTATTAACTGCTATGCCCACTGGGTCTTTAGCAGGATATGGTCTTTTCAGATTCAACTAACCTTGCAGACTTACAAGATTACCATAGCTCTCATCTGGCACCAGTCTACTCAGTAGGACCTAAGGCAGGACGCACAGCTTGCCAGCAAGGGCGTTATCAGCTATCCCTCTGCTGTGGGAGCAGTACTCGCCATGATCTATGCAGGTGTCCACATAGCCACCTAGGACTTATTCTGCTTGGCCTTCTGTTAGATGAGTTGGGAGCTGACCTGGCTTAGAAACCCCACAGGTCTACCAGGAACTAAAATCTCCTATAAGAACCCCATTACACATGACCTGCAGGGATCCCGTAAGGAATATGACCAAATACATGGGTCACTGCACTCAGGGAAGCCCAAAGTTATAGCTTCTTAATACATATTTACAGTTCTCTCAGTTCAGATGCAGTCTGACATCAAGGATCATTCTTATGCAAGCAGTGTTGCTAAATAACATAACAGGCTTTCGGCCGGGCGTGGTAATCCCAGCACTTTGGGAGGCCAAGACCAGCAAATCACAAGGTCAGAAGTTTAAGATCAGCCTGGCCAATATGGTGAAATCCCATCTCTACTTAAAAAATACACAAAAATTAGCTGGGTGTGGTGTCGTGCGCCTACAGTCCCAGCTACTCAGGAGGCTGAGGTAGGAGAATCGCTTGAACCCAGGGGGTAGAGGTTGTAGGGAGCCAAGATCATGCCACTGCACTCCAGCCTAATCAACAGAGTGAGACTCTCTCCCAAAAAAATAAATAAATAAATATAACAGGCTTTCGATATTTATCAGGTCATCAGGTGATCAGAGCTAGAAAACCAACTGAAGGTCAAATTCTCATTAAAAAATGAAGGTTTTGGCCAGGCATGGGCTCACACCTGTAATCCCTGCACTTTGGGAGGCTAAGGCAGGAGGATCACCTGAGACCAGGAGTTCAAGACCAGCCTGAGCAACAACAGAGCAAGACCCCATCTCTACAAAAAAATTCTTTTTAATTAGCCAGGCATAGTGGCATGCAGCTGTAGTCCTAGCTACTCAGGAGGCTGAGGTGGGAAGATCACTTGAGCCCAGGAGGTGGAGACTATAGTGAGCTATAATTGCACCACTGCACTCCAGCCTGGGTGACAGAGTGAGACCTTGTCTCAAAAAAAAAAAAAAAAAACAGAAGGTTTTGTTGACTCTTTGCTCACAGACTCTAAAGCTAATCAAAGCAGCAGTCACTGCTCTATCACTCTCCAATAAGCTGGAAGCTGTGCGAAGAGGAAACTGGATTCTTACCTCCTATTCTGATGTCTACCTCTGGAACATATTAGTTGATCAGAAATAAAGATTTTAGTGAAAGAACAGTCCCTTGGGAAAGAAATATTTTCTACTCCTACTGACAGAAAGTGTTTCACCTTTCCCTCCTATCAGTAATGTTAATACCTAATAACAAAGTTTCACCTTTCCCTAGTATCTCTTAGGTTGGCAAGAACCCTACAAAAACCTTCACCTTGGGCTGAAATACTGCAGTAAATGCTAAATATCCTTTTTCCTTTTTTCTATAGTTAACATAGTTGGATTAATTCTCCCTAATGATCTCATAACTGATATCACTTCTTCTCGCCTGCTCTACCTCTCAAAGCCTCACTTCTAGGATAAAATTAGTGAAAAATATACTGCCCAGTCAAATAACCATACTAATATGCCAATTTGAACTTCTTTTTAGTGCAAACTCCAGGACCTATTGGTAAGCTGCCTGTATATATCAACTTATCTGTATTGGCTTCTTACTATGTCTGAAGGAGACTGGCTCCAGCTGTTTAAGTATCTGGGTTAAAGAATCTAAAAATCGTATGTCTTAGACTTTCATTTCCCCACATCCTAACTGTTGGGTTTTGGAGGGAAGGCAAGGGTTAAAGAAAGACACAGAGAGAGTGGTGGCTCTACAGCAAATGCAGGCTTTGTGTCCAGCATAAGACCTACAGAAGTGGGGAACTAGCCTAATGCCAGTGTCCACCACTGCTTACAGGCTGGGGATACTTATAGGTATGGATGGGAGGGGTCTGGGTAGTATGGCTTGCTGCCCAGCAGTATATTGATAAGATGTTCCCACGATAAGGGGGTTCTGGCCCTTGTTCCTGCAGAATGTGGTGTTCCTTGCACTTTCTCCCAGCAGAATATGATAGGGAGGTTTCTTTAGGTGGCCCTTTGTCCACCTTGTAGTCAGGTGGTTAGGCAGAATGTTTCTCACAGCCTGAACCCCCGTGGAATGTTTCACTTTGACCAAGGTCTTCAAAATAGCTGGAGGCTTACAAAATGGTGCAGTTTGGATTAACACTAACATCTCTCTGGGCAACCAATTATATTTTAGCAAATGGAAATTCCATTACCTTAAAATTCATAACAGACAGGCATTGTTCTAATAATGATTATAGTGGCTTGTCAATAATCATTAGAATAGCTTCCTAAGGCAAAGGTGTAATCGAATCTGGAAAAGAATATAAGAAATGAACAAGAATATAAAAGAAAGATAGCTGAGAGTGAAACAGAGTGATGTGAGGAAAAAAGACTGGGGGAATATGGGGAAAGGAATACAATTAAGGATCTCACCTCTAACACCTATAATGAAAAGCAAGAATGAAGTGGTTATGCTAACTAAAACAGGGTTAATAATCTCCTAGAAGAAGATCTGGTTCTTATGGAGAGGCTACAGTACAGCAGTAGTGCAATGAAAAATATTTAATCCTGAATAATGAGATTTAGTAATTCCTGAGAAGATCATTTTCACTGCTTGCCTTTGGAAAACAGCACTAATAGAGGTATTTTTGGGCCAGGCGCAGTGGCTTACACCTGTAATCCCAGCACTTTGGGAGGCCAAGGTGGGCGGATCACCTGAGGTCAGGAGTTCAAGACCAGCCTGGCCAAAATGGCGAAACCCCATCTCTACTAAAAATACAAAAAATAGCCAGGCATGGTGGCGGGCACCCGTCATCCCTGCTACTCAGGAGGCTGAGGCACGAGAATCACTTGAACCCAGAAGGTGGAGGTTGTAGTGAGCCAAGATCACCCCACCGCACTCCAGCCTGGGCGACAGAGTGAGACTCTGTCTCAAAAAATTTAAGTGTGTGTGTGTGTATATGTGTTTAATTTGTTTGTTTCTATTTTTTAGTACAATATCCTGGACCCAATGGTAAGTACCTTATCTATCCTTCTCCCTCCAGGTTCCTTGATCTTCTACAGTGTCTAGAGGGCCTGTTCCCTGTCTGAAATGCCCTAGATGTGTCTTACTGCCATAAGAGCAGTTGTTTTATGCATGTTTTTATGCTTCCTGGTTGCAACCTACTGAGAATTCTCCAGGGCTATTTTTTTTTAAAGAAAAAGAGTAAGAAAATTTCCCCAGAAATAGTCACAATGTCTTCTATAACAAAACAGAAGAATTTTCTAAAGTAGCAGAGAGAGAATAATAAGGGCAGCTTTCCAGTTCTGAAGTGCTTTGTAGTTTCTAAAGGGCCTACTCAAAGATAATGGAGACAATGAGGAGGAAATGAGAAAAGAAAATCAAATTTTAAGAATAAATACAAAAGGGAGAAAAGACAATAAAATTTTACAGGAAATACTATTCTGGGTCTAGTCTAACCTGAGTTCTCCAGTCTTCTCTCCAAAGCTTTCTCTTTCCTCATGTCCTATCCTGTTCTCTATCTCCAAACACCTTTCATCCCCACCACACGTGCGCGCATGCGCAAACACACACGACAGAGAGGAAAAGAAAGGACAGAGCACCTCGTGGAACACGAAATGACAGTAATTGGGCTGTAATTACAGGAACTGGCAGAAGCATCACATATGGAAAAGAATAAAGTGAAAGTCCATATTGTGACGAACTAGGGAGAAACAGGTGTTAAAATATAGGGAATCAAACCAACCCCAGGACATGGGAAATTCTGAGTCTAGAAATAAAGGGATAGCATTAGAAAGTTTAAGTCAAGCAGGAAGGATTATCAGAAGGCAAGTCACATATATTCAAACAAACATTCCTTCATCTAGCTGATCTCCTAGCATGTATCAGATACTAAGCTGAGCACTGAGCACTGAGGATAAAGTCATGAATAAGGAAGAGAGAGATTTGGTTGGTCTCTGGTGCCATGGAGTTTACAGTCCTATAAGATCACTTGGGAAAACAAACCCAAAATGTATAGAGGGCAGGCAGCATCCCACACAATCATACTATGACCATTAAAAACTGGATATTTACTGCCCTAAATTCTGGTTCTAACTATCCTTTTTGTGCATGAATAAGAGCCATTTGTTACTGACTATTCCCCTGAATCAAGACTGATTTCCTCAGTACCCACAGATATTGCCAAGACTTATAGCCTTGGAAGTTCTCATAATTATTACTCAGAGGATAAACATAAGCCAGCCTACCTCAGAGGATCTCACTGGGGCTAAAGGAAGGGTCACATGTGGTCCAAAGTTCCCTAATAGCCACCATGTGCCAGATAATCTACATGGATACATGAATTCCCTTTCCCTTTTCTCCCCTGCTCGACTCCCTCTCTCCTATGTGTAAACACTTTAAAAATATGATAGTGTATAAATGAAAATTATATTGCTATTTTATTCCTTCCTAGCTTTTCCCTAAGTTGTAAGTGATTTGGAGAAAGTGCAAAATGAATTGATTAAAATTTAAATGACTTTAACAAAAATTAGTGGTTCCCAACAGCCCTAGTAAAGAGAGTAGGAAGAAAACTTTTCAAGTCGATTGAAAGGTTATTACTGGGTAGAATATTCACTATTTGGGTAATGGGTACACTAAAAGCCCAGACTTCACCACTTTGCCATATATGCACATAAGAAATCTGTAGTTGTACCTCTTAAATATAATTAATTAATTAAAAGGTTAGGTAAAAAAGAGTGACTAAAGAAAATGAGGTCGGGGCCGGGCACAGTGGCTCATGCCTGTAATCCCAGCGCTTTGGGAGCCCGAGGCAAGTGTATCATGAGGTCAGGAGTTTGAAACCCGCCTGACCAACGTGGTGAAACCCTGTCTCTACTAAAAATACAAAAATTTGGCCAGGCACAGTGACTCACTCCTGTAATCCTAGCACTTTGGGAGGCCGAGGAAGGTGGATCACTTGGGGTCAGAAGTTCAAGACCAGCCTGGCCAACATGATGAAATTTCATCTCTACTAAAAACACAAAAATTGGCCAGGAGTGGTGTCGCACGCCTGTAATCCCAGCTACTCAGGAGGCTGAGGAAGGAGAATCGCTTGAACTCAGGAGGTGGAGTTTACAGTAGGCCGAGATGGTGTCACTGCACTCCAGCCTGGGCAACAGAGTAAGACTCCGTCTCAAAAAAAAAAAAGATGCTGGGCGCAGTGGCTCACGCCTGTAATCCCAGCACTTTGGGAGGCCCCATGGGCCAGATCACTTACAAGACCAGCCTAGCCAACATGATGAAACTGTGTCTCTATTAAAAATATAAAACTTAGGCCGGGCGCAGTGGCTCACACCTGTAATACCAGCAGTTTGGGAGGCCAAGACGGGCGGATCACGAGGTCAGGAGATCGAGACCATCCTGGCTAACATGGTGAAACCCCATCTCTACTAAAAATACAAAAAAAAAATTAGTCAGTTGTGGTGGCGGGTGCCTGTAGTCCTAGCTACTCGGGAGCCTGAGGCAGGAAAATGGCATGAACCCAGGAGGCAGAGCTTGCAGTGAGCCGAGATCACGCCACTGCACTCCAGCCTGGGTGACAGAGCAAGACTCCGTCTCAAAAAAAAAACAAACTACAAAAATTAGCCAGACTTGGCGGCAGGCACCTGTAATCGCTTGAACCCGAAAGGCAGAGGTTGCAGTGAGCCAAGGCCATGCCACTGCACTCCAGCCTGGGTAACAGAGCAAGATTCTGCCTCAAAAAGAAAGAAAGAAAATAAACGAAAAAGAAAAGGAGACTGACAAAAGTACATAGAAGTACAAGTTTAAGACATTATGAACCTCTAGAAGTGTTTCAAGCATTTACTGTCGCTGAGTGAAATAAGAAGGAAGAATAAAGCCTCACTTTATCACTTTATAACTAATCTCCTGCCTCAGACCAGCAGAAACAGGTCTGAGGCTACAAAGCACAAAGTAAGGCACGTAAGACTGGACATGCACTGAGCTGTCAGATTTTAGCGCCCCCCATATCCTCTCTGCAGTTACCCTCTTTGAGCCTATCAAGGGAGAACTGAATTCACTTGGTTCTACACATGTTGATTTCTCCATTGTGTGTTCCTTCTGTTTCTTACCACCAGCTGAAACTTCAGTAATGACTGGTTAAGTCCCATGCCTATTATAGGGCCTAGCATACTTTTCCTCTCTGTTCATTTCTGTCTTGTGTGTGTAGAAACTCATATTCCTTCATCTCTTTTGCTTATTCCACTATTTAGCTGCTGCTCCACCCCTAAAAGGAATGAATAAAGGAGAATACCAAACCCACTGATCAACCCAAAAGAGAGAGATATACTTCAGAAACTACCCTAAGTTTATAGTGACTTGTCAACAAGGGAAGGGAAGGATATTTGTATGAATAAATGAAAGCTTTCACAGAATGGCAGAAATAGGGAGAAGAAAGGTAAAGGCAGCACAGTTTAAAGAAATTACCAATCCCCTGCAGGATTTCCAGCAGTAACCACTTACTGCAAAAAGGGAAGAGATAAATCATCTCCCTTTCCTACAGCCTCCTATACTAAGCAGAAGGCAGAATCCCCACAAGGCATGGTGGCAGGTATATTGTATATTCCCCAGCACAGAGCTCTATGCCTCTGCCCTAAGAAGGATGTTTCTTCCATTGCCATTTCTGATATTTCCTTTCAGGAAAGTAGTACAAAAACTAGCTCCTCTTTCAGCAGCCTGTACACATTGATTTATCTCTTTGTTTTTCAGCTATTGGATCTTCTTGTGAGTTTGACTATTTCCCTTCATGATTGAAACTCAATTGTCTCCAGTAGTGTCTAACATATCTTAAGCCAAAATGTATGCATTCACATTGTGATATGATAAACTTCCAATTTCCTTGGTCCCTTATTTTTCCATTACTCAAAACACAAATACATTATTTTTTTTTTCAGCATCACAATCAGACTATTGCATTTAGCAATCAACAGCATGGGTGCAAAAAAAAAAAAAAAATCTACATCAAAACCCTTTGTTGGATTGCTTTACACTTTCCACAGAACGGAAACTAAAATAACCTGTTATACAATTAATCACAAATACAGTCCTTGAGTTTTTTGCCCACACACATGAGTATTTGTCTAAAATATATCTTCTTTGTACCAGCTAGACCCTGCCACCATTGTGCTTGGCTGAGTTCACAAATCTGTTGTAACCTATACCTTCCCTGTCACTTCTCTGGCTCTCCTCTCCTACTAAGCTTTGTTTCCTAATTAAAATCTTCTGCCACTGCCATAGCTACTGCTGCTACTGGAACCACCATAACCACTTCGGCTTCATGGTTTTGCAAAGTATTGGCATCCACCACCATAGGGGCCAGAGCTTCTGCCTCCAAAGTTTCCTCCCTTTGCGGGTCCAAAATTTGAAGGCTGATTGTTGTAATTGCCAAAATCATTGTAGCTTCCACCACCTCCAAAATTGCTTCCATCATTACCAAATCCATTATATCCATCCCCACTGCCACCATATCCACCACCACCATGGCTGCCATCAAATCCACCACGACCACTAAAGATTCCTCCATGACCAAAGCTGTCATTCCCACCAAAACCACCTCCACAACCACCACCAAAGTTTCCAGAACCACTTCGACCTCTTTGGCTGGATGGAGCACTAGCCATCTCTTGCTTTGACAGGGCTTTTCTAACTTCACAGTTGTGGCTATTCATAGTATGGTATTTCTGAATGACAGTCTTATCCATGGAGTCATAGTCATCAAAGGTTACAAAGGCAAAGCCCCTTTTCTTGCCACCACCTCGGTCAGTCATGATTTCAATCACTTCAATTTTTCCAAACTGTTCAAAATCATCTCTTAGTTGATGCTCTTCAGTGTCTTCTTTAATGCCACCAACAAACATCTTTATCACAGTTAAGTGGGCACCTGGTCTTTGAGAATCTTCTCTTGTGACAGTTCTCTTTGGTTCCACAACTCTTCCATCCACCTTGTATGGCCTTGCATTCATGGCTGCATCTACCTCCTCCACAGTGGCATATGTGACAAACCCAAAGTCCCTGGAGCGATTGGTGTTTGGATCTCTCATGACCACACAGTCCAGGAGTATTCCTCATTGCTCAAAATGGCTCCTCAGGCTCTCATCAGTTGTTTCAAAGCTCAATCCTCCAATGAAGAGCTTCCTCAGCTGTTCCGGCTCTTTAGGAGACTCTGACTTAGACAAGACGGCCGGGAGAAGAGAGACTTTAACGATGCTTCTTCCATAGCATCCATGGGCAGAAAGGCATAAATACATTATTAATAAGTTTCTAGAACATTCACTGACCTGCATAAAAAATAAACAGAGAAAAATGTTTCTACATGACTCTAAAGAATGTTAATTAGGAATTTCCCATGCAGAAGGAAAAAAAATGAGAGGAAAATGATATAGATCCATTTCTGCTTTCTAGATAAGTCATCTATACAGGCAATTAGTCAGTTATTTGTTTCTCTGTGGTGCACTTATCAAGTCCATTGATGCCTATTGGAACTTGAGATGCAACATGGAACTTGAAGTTCTATTTTCTCAGCCTTTTGTTTTCCCATTGTCCAGAATTCAACCAGCTGATAATTAGTTTTCTGGAAATTTCTAGTGCCTTTGATTTAAAAAAACAAAAACAAAAACAGTTGAAGCAAGTATATCACTAGTAAATTTGCCAATAGAAAAAAAAAATGAGTAGGAAAAGAAAAGAAACAAGAAGGGGGTAATAAAAAATATCTTTGCTTGTTTTTCAGTCAGATCGCATCCTCACACAATCAGTAAGTCTATGTGTTCATTTAATTCTCCCCTTTAGGACTCAGTTGGTCTCTAGTGGAGCCCAAGCGTCTTTATCTGACCATACTGGGATACAAAGGGCTTGAGATACATCTTGGCCCCTTGCTGTCTCATTATCAAAACCTCTCTAGATTATTAATGATGTACTGGAAAGTTTTAAGACTACCAATTTACAATCCCCTGCAGGATTTCAAGCAGTTATCAGTCACTGCAAAAAGGGAAGAGATAAGTCAGAGCAGAGAAAAAAATTTTACAAAATTTCAAAGCCCATCAACAAGAGACTATCTTACCAAACACCACATGTTCTCACTCATAGGTGGGAACTGAACAATGAGATCACTTGGACACAGGAAGGGGAACATCACACTCTGGGGCCTATTGTGGGGAGGTGGAAGAGGGGAGGGATAGCATTAGGAGATATACCTAATGTAAATGATGAGTTAATGGGTGCAGCACACCAACATGGCACATGTATACATATGTAAGAAACCTGCACGTTGTGCACATGTACCCTAGAACTTAAAGTATAATTTAAAAAAAAGAGAGAGAGAGAGACAGACAGAGACGATCTTAAAAAGGGAAAAAATGGTAGGAGAGAAAGGAGTAGATAAGAAGTTTCTATAACCCTTTTTCATTTGACCCTCCTGCTGAATCTGGTCTCTTTTTCCACACTTGAATTCCAAAACATCTAAGAAAATTTTGTATCATCTTTTAGAGACTTTAGAGGATTTAAGCCTAAACTTTAAATAACAACTTTAAAAAATTATAGGGCATTTCCTCCATGTTTTGCTTTCACGTGACACATCATTCTCTCACCTTTTAAATAACTCTATGGAAAAAATCAAACTTACTATTTTATTAAAAAATAAAGAGCAGGGGAGAAAGTTTATCAGCAGGTCAAAATGATATATTACAAGGGACTTAACAAATTGAAAGACAATTTGAGCAAAGGGGAAAGCAAAAGGAGATAATTTTCTCTGATCTATTTACAAGCTGGATTCATTTCACCCGCTATCAGTAAGTCCATGTTTTCAGCACTGTAGGATTCTAGAATCTCTCCTTTCCCTGGTACGGCTGAGATTTCCGGGTTTGGGGTGCATACTACTTTAACCATTTACCTTCCCATCATCAACATTCCATGAAGTTACTGATGATTTTCTGAAAGTTCACAGTGTGCTGATTCATATTAAAAGTAAATGAATACCAAAGGGAAAGTTTTCCCTATTGTTATAATGACCTAGCAAGAAGAAACTCTCTACATAGAAAGGAAAATATCATGGAGAAAAAACAGTTGCTAAGATACCTCTCTGTTTTTCAGCTGGTCCACCTTCAGCACCCTGCGGTAAGTTCAATTTCTTTTTCTACTGTTTTCTGTTGTTGTTCTTGTTCCCTGCAAGGCTTAGAGACCTGTCTCTACCCTGCTCATTTCTAACTGTGTGTGCAGCTGCCTGACTCAAAGCTTCCAGTTTCCTCTGCCTTCTGCTCATCCAGCTTCTCCCTGAGAAGGAAGTTATATTTACCTAGTTTCAAACATATATTTACTTTGTATCTCCTCTAGAACTATTTAAGTGCTTTAATTACATTATCTCATTTAATCCTCAGAATAATTCCACTAACCCCTTTGTAAGAGATAAGAAACTGAGCCAAATACTTAATCAAGAATACTTAGTCATAGAATCATAATTCGGACCCAGAATGGTGTCCAAGATTCTCCCCTACACAAATATACCTCCCTATAGAGGGAACCTTGTTTCCTTCAAAGAAATCTTCACTGATATCTAATTTGGTTTTTAGGTCCACCCGTGGCACCCATAAGTAAGTATAACATCTCTTTTTCTTCTTTGGTTCTCTATGGTCCCCTTCATTTCACTTCTGTCAAAGTGATTTGAGTTTCCCATTCTTCTCTTGCTTCCTTATTACCCTGCTTGCCCTATAATTTTTTTAAAACACTAATTAAAAGCGGGAGTAAGCTAGCATTCATCAACAATAAACTGAACAATACTATGAAATAACAAGTAGGAGGAATTTTCAGGGGGGTGGAGAGAGAAAGAGAGAAAGAGAGATGAAATCCAAAATGATGTCTAAATGGAGAGAAACCTTCAGTGTTCTTTCAAACATTATAGTGCAAGGATCCAGTGGTCTTTTCCCAACACTATGTCCAAAGCTATTCAGGTCCAATAAATGAAGAGGGCCTTTAAGGAAACTCTACCTTTGATTTCATCATTACATCATCACTGTTAAATCTTACATCTAGTTTTGCATTATAAAACTAATCTAAAACCAAATGATCTATAGGGTGGTTTGGAATACCTCCTTCATTACTCACCCAAGTCCTCCCCTCACAGACTCCAGCAAAATATATTAGATAATACTATGTGTTTTCTATTTGAGAAAAATTAAGTGGATTTTTGTTTGCTTATTTTTCAGTAATTTCGCAGAGAACCGCAAGTAGGTACCTTTACCTCGCAGCTGGTCATATGTGGAGACTTATCTTAGATGTTTCTATTTCTAAATGCCTCATATTTCTCATATTCATTTGCTTCTACATAACCGAAAGTCTTCAAGATTAGGACTGCAAGTCGGCCTTTTTGATTCGTAACTGTAGTATTTCCCATTATAAACTCAGCTTCCAAGGTAACACATATGAACAGTGACTCAATATTTAAACCAGATCAAGCACTGACAATGATTATATTTAATATAGAATTCATGAAACCACCTTTTACACTATGTCTTAGTTTTCCAAAATGCAAATCTGGTTCTCATATCTCAGTTACAAATGATTTAAGCAAACCCAACATCGCTCGGATTCCTCAACCTGAAATTATATCACATTAATATTAAAACCCAAAGTTCCTGTCAAGGTTAAACACGCAGATGCCAAAAGAGCCCAGGCAGGTCAGTAAATGAGCGAGATGAGGTGCGTCTCCTGGGAACTGTGTAAAACTGGGAGGACACATACAGTCTGAAGAGGGTAGCTGTTGCCCTGCTCCAGCCAACCTCGTCATGCAAGAATTCACATCCAGAGTTGTCAAAGCATCTCACTTAATCCAGAGAGTAGGTAAAATTTTCCAAGCTTTAAACATGACAGACATCTGGGTTACTCTAACAGATTGCAAACATACTTATATACTCCCCTCTAGTTCCATCTAAACACATTCTGGATATAGTTTTCATAATAACATTTTACTCATTTCAATAATGTTAGGACAAAGGCATTGGTATTTGAGAGAGGAGAATCAGAGCTATTCACACGGAAGTAGCCAGTGTCTCTCCAAAGTCCTCATCCACACATCTTTCTGAAGTCTGAGCAAAGAGGCTGATTGGCTAAGTATTCTCACTGCACAGATGAAAATACAGAGACAGTGGCTCCGACCCAGGGATGAGGCTGCAAAATCCATATGCCCATGTTTGGGCATAGACCCTATAATTGGGTACAGGGACCAAGGCCCACCTGAGGTCAGGAGAAGGGATTATTGGTCTCACAGCTAGAAATTACAAGCCAAAATCCAAATAGAATGCATAGTGTCCTTTTCAGAGAAGTCATCAGAGAGTATGGGCAGGAAAAAGATGTAAAAATCCAAGACCCAATAGATATATAGGGTCTTGGATCCTATATATCATCCTAGTAGAGAGGATGAAAAAAAAGCATGCCAAAGTAACTAGGGATTATACCACCTGCTTTTTGGATAGCTAAGTGTTGGCTAGCCAATCCCATTACTGGGTATAGACTCAAAGGAATATAAACCATTCTATCATAAAGACACATGCATGGTTATGTTAAACACAGAACTATTCACAATAGCAAATACATGGAATCAACCTAAATGCCCATCAATGGTAGACTGAATAAAGAAAATGTGATACATATACACCATGGAATACTATGTAGCCAAAAAAAGAATGAGATCGTGTCCTTTGCCGGAATATGGATGGAGCTAGAGGCCATTACCCTTAGCAAACTAATGCAGGAACAGAAAACCAGATACCGCATGTTCTTATTTATAAATGGGAGCTAAATGATGAGAACACATGGACACACAGAGGGGAAAAATAGACACGGGCCTGTCAGAGGGTGGAGGGTGGGAGTGGGAGAGGATCAGGAAAAAATAACTAGATTTAACATGTGGGTAGCAAAATAATCTGTACAACAAACCCCCACGACACAAGTTTACCTAAATAACAAACTTGCACAGGTAGTCGTGAATTTAAAATAAACATTTAAAAAGTGTTACCTGGCAATATCTTTAAATGAAAACTATACAGCCAAGCTTAAGCATAAGAAAGGTGGGTAAGAATGATTTCCAAGGAGCAGAAATTGAATATAGGAACACATTGTAAGAAGAAGCTAAAGTTAAGCTCTTGATGGGAATGGTGAGGGGATGAAAAAATAGAGGTGGCAGCTTTGCCTCAGGAGCAAAGGTAGGGTTTCAACATCTGCTCCCAAATGACAGCAAAAGCCTCAAGATCCAACATGCGGAAAACTGAAATTAGGCCCCTCTGAGTAAAGCCAGTAGCAAAAAATATACTGCCTCCCCATGCAGAGAAGCCAAAATATCTTCACCCATCTGCCCCAAGTATGAAAACAGAGCCACCCACACAGGTCCAGAGTTAGATCTGTCCAGGGTGCAGAGCCCTGCTGGAGGTGTGCTACCCATGCAGTGTGCATAATATTCCGAGTCAATACAACTGAGATCTGGTTCAGTGACAGTGTACCCAGGAAGTTAGGAAGATAGCCAGCAAGAAGAGATCCACAATCCAGGGTATTTATATCATAGAATATCCATGAAAGCTAGCCCCCAAGGAATAAGTAACCACTAAAAGTTATGAAATCTATGAGGAAATCCAGCACCATGTGAGTGATACCTCACAAGCCCCCAACAAATTGGAGAATTCCAACCCAGAGAAATAGAACTAGAGCAATCTGAAGAAGACTAAAATAAGAAACCTAACAGCATTGAACAAGTCAAACACTAAAAGAAAAAAAGGAAAAAGTCTTCAAAGATATTAATGCATTTAATAAATATATGTATTCAACAAATATATATTGGCCTATTCTAGGCCAGGCATTATCCTAAGCACTGGAAATATAGCCATGAGCAAGACAAAGTCCTTGCATTTAAGGAGTTTATATGTTGAGATAAAACAGGCAAATAACGGCAAGTAAACATACAGTAAATGTCAGGCAGATAAATTCATGGAGAAAAATAAGAAGAGTAACAGACTAAAGAAAGATGGTACAGAAGGGGGACTGTGCTTCAGGCAAAAGGAACAAGTACAACATGCACAGGCCTGCTATGGGGATGCAAAACAGCCAGCCAGGCTAGAAAGAAGGAGGCAGAGGTAGGGCCAGAGTGACAAGAGCCAGATTATGTCGGGCCCTGCAGTCCTTAATCAAAATTGCAGATTTCATTCTAGGTGTCATGATAAGCAACTGAAGGGCTGAAACAGGGTAATGATAGGGTCTACTTTATAATTTTAAAAGATCATTCTGTTATTGTGGAGGATTAACTGGGGTGAGAGTGAGGGCTCAAGAGAGGAAGCAGGAAGACCAGTTAAGAGGCCTGAAACTAAAGGTGAGAGTGGCAAGGAGAAGAGTGATCAGAGTAGAAGTGGGAAGAAGGTCTTCAGATTTTATTTATTTTGAGGGCAAAGCCAACAGGGCCTGCTATTCAACTGAATGTGATTTTAAAGGAAAAGGAAGACACCAAGGGTTACTCCTAGATTTGGGGTCTAAGTAACTTGACGAATGAGACTATTTGTTGATTTTGGTAGCGTGGAAGAAGAGCAGATTTATAGCATGCTATTGTGAGTTCAGTTTTGCATATGTTAGGTTTTAGATGCCTGGGACATTTAGGACTAATTAATTAGTCTGACCTTAGCGGGCTTCAAGCATGTTTTCTGGCAAATATCTCCTCTCTGTCCCTTAACGATGTCTTAGAACCCATAATTTTATCTTTGTTATCTTTGTAAATAACAGCTTTATTGAGATGACATTCACATATGACACAATTCACTCATTTAAAGTGTGGAATTCAGTGCTTTTTAGTATATTCACAGGGTTGTGCAACCATCACCAGAATCAATTTTAGAACATTCTCATCACCCCCCAGAAAAAACTCTGTTTAGCAATCACTTCCCACTATCCCCCAACCCAAAACCCTCTCCACACCATGGCCCCAGGCAACAACTAATCTTCTTTCTGTCTCTATAGATTCAGCTGTTCTGGACATTTCATATAAATAGAATCAAACAGTAGGAGGTCTTTTGTGACTGGCTTCTTCCATTTAGCATAAGGTTTAACAGGTTCATCCCCATGGTAACATGCAGCAGTAATTCAGTTCTTTTTGTGGCCAAATAATATTTCATTATATCTTTGGTTGGCCTTTTTTAGCTTTTCCTTTATTTACTTGTAGGAAATATTATGCTAAATAGTATCAACTTGCTTTCTTTATTTTTATTTAAGTTTTAAGTTCAGGGGTACATGTGCAGTTTTGTTATATAGGTAAACTTGTGTCATGCAGGTTTGTTGTACAGATTATTTCATCATCCAGGTATTAAGCCTAGAATGCATTAGTTATTTTTCCTGACCATCTCCCTCCTCTCACCCTTCAACCTTCAATAAGCCCCAGTGCCTGTTGTTTCCTTCTGTGTCTATGTGTTCTCATCATTTATCTCCCATTTGTAAGTGAGAACATGTGGTATTTCGTTTTCTCTTCCTGCATTAGTTTGCTAAGGATAACACCCTCCAGCTCCATCCATGTTCCTGCAAAGGACATGATCTTGTTCTTTTTTATGGCTGCATGGTATTATATTGTGTATACGTACATTTTCTTTATCCGGTCTATCGTTGATGGGCATTTTATTATTATACTTTAAGTTCTAGGGTGTATGTGTGCACAACGTGCAAGTTTGTTACATATGTAAACATGTGCTATGTTGGTGTGCTGCACTCATTAACTCATCATTTACATTAGGTATATCTCCTAATGCTATTCCCCCCCGCCGCAATAGGCCCTGGTGTGTGATGTTCCCCTTCCTGTGCCCAAGTGATGTCATTGTTCAATTCCCACCTATGAGTGAGAACATGTGGTGTTTGATTTTCTGTTCTTGCAATATTTGCTGAGAATGATGGTTTCCAGCTGCATCCATGTCCTCCCTACAAAGGACACGAACTCATCCTTTTTTATGGCTGCATAGTATTCCATGGTGTATATGTGCCACATTTTCTTAATCCAGTCTGTCACTGATGGACATTTAGGTTGATTCCAAGTCTTTGCTATTGTGAATAGTGCCACAATAAACATACGTGTGCATGTGTCTTTATAACGGCATGAATTATAATCCTTTGGGTATATCCCTAGTAATGGGATGTCTGGGTCAAATGGTATTTCTAGTTCTAGATCCTTGAGGAATCACCACATTGTTTTCCGCAATGGTTGAACTAGCATTTAGGTTGATTCCATGTTGTCGTTACTGTGAATAGTGCTGCAATAAACACACGTGTGTTTCTTTATGATAGGACAATTTTTATTACTTTGGGCATATACCCAGTAATGGGATTGCTGGGTCGAATGGTAATTCTGCTCTGGGGTCTTTGAGGAATTGCCACACTGTTTCCCACAATGGTTGAACTAATTTACGTTGCCACCAACAATGTAAAATTGTTCCTTTTTCTCCACAGCCTCCCCAGTATCTGCTATTTTCTGACATTTTGATAATGGCCATTCTGCCTGGTGTGAGATGGTATCTCATTGTGTTTTGACTTGCATTTCTCTAATAATCAGTGATGTTGAGCTTTTCTTCATATGTTTGTTAGCTGCATGTATGTCTTCTTTTGAAAAGTGTCTATTCCCTTTTTTTGCCAACTTTTTAATGGGGTTGTTTTTGTCTTGTAAATTTGTTTAAGTTCCTTACAAGCGCTAGATATTAGACCTTTGCCAGATGCATAGTTTGCAAAAATTTTCTCCCATTCTGTAGGTTGCCTGTTTACTCTGTTGACAGTTTCTTTTGCTGGCAGAAGCTCTTTAGTTCAATTAGATCCCATTTGTCAATTTTTGTTTGTTACAATATGAAGGCTTTTGTTGTCTTCATTATGAAATCTTTGCCCATTCCTATGTCCAGAATGATATTGCCTAGGTTTGTATAGCTTTGGGTTTTACACTTAAATCTTTAAACCATCGAGTTAATTTTCAAGGGATAAAAAAAAAAAAAAAAAAAAAAAAAAAAAAAAAAAAAAAAAAAAAAAAAAAAAAAAAAAAAAAAAAAAAATTTCATATGTGGTATAAAGAAGGAGTCCAGCTTCAATCTTCTGTATATGGCTGGCCAGTTACCCTAGCATCATTTATTGAATAAGAAGCCCTTTCCCTGTTGCTTGTTCTTGCCAGCTTTGCCAAAGATCAGATAGTTGTAGTCATGTGGCCTTATTTCTGGGCTCTCTATTCTGTTGCATTGATCTATGTGTCTGTTTCCTACCAGTGTCATACTATTTTGCTTAATGTAGCCTGGTAGCATACCATAATTTTCTAGTAATGATAAGTTATTAAAAACACTCAGGCCAACCCCTCTTAAAACCCTCTCCTCTCCTAGTGGCCAGTCTCAGGCATACTGACTCAGAATAGGGAGGAGAAATGCAATGTGCTTCCCCTTCCTGCCTGCTCTCCCTGTTATAATTCCCACTGTGTTGAGGTTGAGAGAATGGATTTGGGGCATGCAATCTCCTTCCTCTGTCAGTTGCAGATTTTTTTCTCTGAGAACCTGTGACTGACTGTGCTTTGATGTTATCTAGGGCAGACACCCAAATGTCTTGCAGAGATACATATTTGAGTTCTTTGGAGGAACCTACAAAAACTTGACCAAGTTCTGAGATTCCACTGCCCAGTCCCTGATATGATGGTACTGACTCTAGTCTTGCCTATTCCAGAGCCCCTCAGCTCCCTCTCCAGCAATATACTTCATAGCCCGTACTGCAGAGATGTCCTTACCAAGTAGGCCACCCACTTGAGTGACATACTAGCAAAAGGACTCAAGCCAGGATGTATTTTGCACTGCCCAGTGAACCCTCAGGAAGCTCAAGCATCCTTGTCACAGAACAAGGACACTCTGCACTACTGTCTCTCTCCAGTTTTATTTTCCTTCTATTCAGATAGGCACAAAACAAATCAACAAATCTACTATTCAACTAGGAGATGGGTTGCCACACTTCCTTTCTCACAGATATCCCCAATCACTGTAAGCAAATCTCAAAGTGCTTCTCATTTTGCCTTCAGAAAAAGAAAGCACAATTCCTTCCTCCCCTACAACAGCATTCCTTTGTTAACTACTCACAACTCCAAAGACTCTTAAATCTCCTACCCTTTACAGTTGTTTGCTTACATTGGCTTGGAAAAAGGGTGATACTTGAGATAGGAGAGCTAATTTGACCATCATCTGTCAAGGCCGGTGAGCAGCACCTCTGCACTGCACAGCTTCAAGAATCCTTTCGCTTTGAATTATGGAGTTGGCAATGCTGCAATCCCTCCTGAGGGCTGTCTCACCTCAGTTTGCTGAGGAGAGAAATGGGAAGTTATAGCCTCCTTTTCCACAGCTTTGTGATCCTACTTGTCCATTTGGGAATAATAAGAAAAGTCCCACTCGACATTCTGCCCCTCATCCAAGCATATACTCTGTATTCAAAAGCAATTAAATAATTGAGTCTGAAGATTTAGGGAGAGATTGGGTGGGAAATAAATTAGACAGTAATCAGCATATAGATAATATTTAAGAATACTGGACTAAATTAGATAACCAAAGATGTATGTAAAAATGAAGGGGTAAGGATTAATCAGTTTTAGAAGTTTAGAATAAGGGAAAAATCTAACTAAGCATATAGAAAAGGGGTGAACAGGGAGAAAGGAGAACTAGTAAAGGTGGGGTCTCACAGAACTCAAGAGAAGATGTATTTCAATATGGAAAGAATAAACAACAGCATCAAAAACAGCCAAGCATTAAATTTTTGGAGTAAGAATTGATAATGATTTTTGCAAAGATATCTGAGGAAAATTTCCCTGCCCATTTAAGGATTTTAGTGGCTTGAAGTTGCTATTTCCTTGATGTCTTGCTTTCACATGACCCATCATTATCTCAATTTTTAAATAATTATATGGTGTATTAGTCCATTCTTAGGCTGCTATGAAGAAATATCTGAGACTGGGTAATTTATTAAGAAAAGAGGCCTAATTGACTCACAGTTCCACATGGCTGGGGAGACCTCAGGAAACTCACAATCATGGTGGAAGGCACCTCTCCACAGGGCGGCAGGAGAGAGAATGAGTGCAAGCAGGGAAAATGCCAGACTCTTATAAAACCATCAGATTTCGTGAGACTCACTCATTATCATGGGAACAGCATGAAGGAAGCCACCCCAGTGATTCAATTACCTCCACCTGGTCCCACCCTTGACATGTGGGGTTTATGGGGATTACAATTCAAGGTGAGATTTGGGTGATGACACAGAGCCAACTCACATCATATGGAAAAAACAAAACTTTACTATTTAATTAAAAAATAAAGAGCAGAGGGGAAAGTTTCTCAGTAGTTTAAAATGCAGCATTATGAGGGAAATGACAAATTGAAAAACAATTTGAACAAGCAAGTAAAGAAAAAGATAATTTTCTCTCTTTTATTCACCAGCTGGATCCATTCCACTTGCCATCAGTAAGTCCATATTTTCACAACTGTGGGGTCCTAAAATCTCTCCTTTCCCTGTAAGTGTTAAGATTTCTGTGGTTGGGGTGCATACTTTTCTAACACTTTAACCTTTCCGTCATCAAAATTCCATGAAGTTATTAGTGATTTTTTGAAAGTTCACATTCTGCTGATTCATATTAAAAGTAAATGAATACGAAAGGGAAAGTTTTCCCTATTGTTTTAATGACCTACCAAGAAGAAACTCTCTACATAGAAAGGAAAATATCATGGAAGAAAAACTGGTTCCTAAGATACCTCTTTGTTTTTCAGCTGGTCCATCTTCAACACCAACACCCCGCCGTAAGTTCAGTTTCTTTTTCTACTGTTTTCTGTCCCTATACTGCTCACTTCTTTTTTTTTTTTTTTTTTTTTTTTTTTTTTTTTTTTTTGAGATGGAGTCTCCCTCTGTTGCCCAGGCTGGAGTGCAGTGGCATGATCTTCACTCACTTGCAAGCTCCACCCCTGGGGTTCATGCCATTCTCCTGCCTCAGCCTCCCGAGTAGCTGGGACTACAGGGGCCTGCCACCACGCCTGGCTAATATTTTGTATTTTTAGTAGAGTATTTTCGCCGGGATGGTCTCAATCTCCTGACCTTGTGATCCGCCCGCCTCGGCCTCCCAAAGTGCTAGGATTACAGGCGTGAGCCACCGCGCCCGGCCTACCCTGCTCATTTGCCTCTGTGTGCAGCTACCTGACTCAAAGCTCCAGTTTCCTCTGCCCTCTGCTTATCTAGTTTCTCCCTGAGAAGGAAGCTTACGTTTAGGTGATTTCAAACACATATTTGCTTTGCACCTCCTATAGAATTATGTAGGTGCTTTAATTACATTACCCCATTTAATCCTTAGAATCACTCCACTAACTGCTTTGTAAGAGATAAGAAACTGACCCAAATACTTACCCAAGAATGCATGGTCATAAAGAATTAGAGCTGTTAACAGAGAATTAGCCATTGTCACCCAGAGCTGTGTGACTACCAAGATTCTCCCCTACACAAATATCTCTCCCTAGAAGGAAACTTGTTCCTTTCAAACAAATCTTCACTGATATCTCATTGTTTTAGGTCAGCTGGCAGCACCTATAAGTAAGTACTATGTGTCTTTTTCTACTTGGTTCTTTTTGGTCCTCTTCACTTCACTTCCGTCAAAGTGATTTGCGGTTCCCATTCTTCCCTTGCTTCCTTATTACCCTATATGGTCTATATTACAGAGAATCTTCTTAAATACTAATTAAAAGAGGACTAAGCTATGATTCATCAATAGTAAACTGAATAATATTATGAAATAACAGGTAGGCGGAATTATTGAGAGATGAAATCCATAATGAAGTTTAAATGGAGAGAGGCTTTCAGTGTTCTCTCAAACATTATAATGCTATTCAAAGGAAACAGAAAGATACAGCAGTCTTTACCTGAGACTAGACCCAAAGCTGTCAGGTCCAGTAAATGAAGAGGGCCTTTAAGGAAACCCTACCTTTGACTTCGTTACATCATCACTGCTTAATATTACATCTAGTTTGGCATTGTAAAACTAATCTAAAACTAATCTATAGGGTGGTTTGGAATGCTTCCTTCTTTGCCCACACAAGTCCTCCCCTCAGAGACTCCAACAAAATATGTTACATAGTACTATGTTTTTCCATTTAAGAAAAATTAAATGGATTTCTTTTTGCTTATTTTTTAGTAATCTCGCGGAGAACTGCAAGTAAGTTCTTTATTTTTCAGCCAGTCATATGTGGAGATTTATCTTAGATGTTTCTACTTCTAAGTATCTAAAAGATTGAGACTCATCTAAATATCCAAAAGATTGAGACTCATATTTCTCATATTCATTTGCTTCTACATTACCCAAAGTCCTCCAGATTAGGACTGCAAGACAACCTTTTTGATTCATAACTGTAATATTTCCCATTATTTTAGTTGTTTTGTTTTGTTTTGTTTTGAGATAGAGTCTCACCTGTCACCCAGGCTGGAGTGCAGTGGTACCATCTCGGCTCACTGCAACCTCCACCTGCTGGGTCCAAGTGATTCTCCTGCCTGAGCCTCCCAAGTGGCTGGCAACACAGGTGCAAGCCACCATGCCCAGCTAATTATTGTATTTTTAGTAGAGACAGAGTTTCCTCATTTGGCCAGGCTGTTCTCGAACTCCTGACCTCAAGTGATCCACCCACCTCAGCATCCCAAAGTGCTGGGTTTACAGGTATGAGCCACCACGCCCAGCTCCACTATTTTAGTTATAAACTCAACCTCCAAGGTAACACATACCAACAGTGACTCAATATTTAAACCAGATCAAGCACTGACAATGATGATATTTAATATAGAATTCGTGAAACCGTCTTTCACACTATGTCCTAGTCTTCCAAAATGCAAATCTGGTTCTCATATCTCAGTTACAAATTATTTAAGCAAACTCAATGCCAGCTGAGATTCCTCAGCCTCAAATTAAATCACATTAATATTAAAACCCAAAGTTCCTGTCAAGGTTAAAAACACAGATACCAAAAGAGCCCAGGCAGGTCAGTAAATGAGCGAGATGAGGTGAGTCTCCTGGGAACTGTGTAAAACTGGGAGGACATGCATAGTCTGAAGAAGGTAGCTGCTGCCCAGCTCCAGCCAACCTCTTCATGCAAGAATTCACATCTAGAGTTGTCAAAGCATCTCACTTAATCCAGAGAGTAGGTAAAATTTTCCAATTTTTAAACATGAAAGACATCTATGTTATTCTAACAGATTGCAAACATGCTTATATATCCTCCTCCAGTTCCTTCTAAACACACTCTGGATATAGTTTTCATAACAACATTTTACTAATTTCAATAATGTTAGGACAAAGACATTGGTATTTGAGTGAAGAGAATTGGAACTGTCAGCAAAGAATTATTAGTGAGTGTTTCTCCAAAATCCCCATCCACACACCTTTCTGAAGCCTGAGCAAACAGGCTGATCAGCTAAGTATTGTCACTGCACAGATGAAAACACATACTCAGTGGCTGAGACCCAGGAATGAAGCTGGAAATTCCAGATGTCTATGTTTGCACATGGGCCCTATAATTGGGAACAGAGACCAAGGCCCACCAAAGTTCAGGAGAAGGGATTACTGGTCTCACAGCTAGAAATTACAAGCCAGAATCCAAACTAAACGCATAATGTCCTTTTCAGAGGAGTCATCAAAGAGGATGGGCAGGGAAATAATGTAAAAATCCAAGACCCAAGGGGTAGGGAGAAAGAAAAAAGGAATGCCAAAGTAACTAGGGGTTATAACACCTCATTTTGGGGCTGGCTAAGTCTTGGCTAGAAATATTTTTAAATGAAAAATACACAGCCATACCTACGCATAAAGAAGGAGGATAAGAGTGATTTCCAAGGAGCAGAAATTGAATATAGGAACACATATAAAGAAAGGAAAGCTAAAGTTAAGCTCTTGGGAGGAATGGTGAGGGGATGAGGAAACAGAGGTAGCAGCTCAGGAGCAAAGGGAGGGTTTCAACACCTGCTCCAGGATGGTGGACAAAGCCTCAAGACACAACATGTAGAAAACTGGAATTACACCACTCGGAGTAAAGCCAGGAGCAGAAAATACACTACCTCCCCATGAAGAGAAGTCAAAATACCCCAAACATGAAAACAGAGCCACCCACACAGGTCCAGAGTTAGATCTGTCCAGGGTGCAGAGCCCTGCTGGAGGTGTGCTACCCATGCAGTGTGCATAATATTCCGAGTCAATACAACTGAGATCTGGTTCAGTGACAGTGTACCCAGGAAGTTAGGAAGATAGCCAGCAAGAAGAGATCCACAATCCAGGGTATTTATATCATAGAATATCCATGAAAGCTAGCCCCCAAGGAATAAGTAACCACTAAAAGTTATGAAATCTATGAGGAAATCCAGCACCATGTGAGTGATATCTCACAAGCCCCCAACAAATTGGAGAATTCCAACCCAGAGAAATAGAACTAGAGCAATCTGAAAAAGACTAAAATAAGAAACCTAACAGCATTGAACAAGTCAAACACTAAAAGAAAAAAAAGAAAAAGTCTTCAAAGATATTAATGCATTTAATAAATATATGTATTCAACAAATATATATTGGCCTATTCTAGGCCAGGCATTATCCTAAGCACTGGAAATATAGCCATGAGCAAGACAAAGTTCTTGCACTTAAGGAGTTTATATGTTGAGATAAAACAGGCAAATAACGGCAAGTAAACATACAGTAAATGTCAGGCAGATAAATTCATGGAGAAAAATAGGAAGAGTAACAGACTAAAGAAATATGGTATAGAAGAGGGACTGTGCTTCAGGCAAAAGGAACAAGTACAACATGCACAGGCCTGCTATGGGGATGCAAAACAGCCAGCCAGGCTAGAAAGAAGGAGGCAGCAGGAGGTAGGGCCAGAGTGACAAGAGCCAGATTATGTCAGGCCCTGCAGTTCTTAATCAAAATTGCAGGTTTCATTCTAGGTATCATGAGAGGCAACTGAAGGGCTGGAACAGGGTAATGATAGGGTCTACTTTATAATTTTAAAAGATCACTCTGTTATTGTGGAGGATTAACTGGGGTGAGAGTGAGGGCTCAAGAGAGGAAGCAGGAAGACCAGTTAAGAGGCCTGAAACTAAAGGTGAGTGTGGCAAGGAGAAGAGTGATCAGAGTAGAAGTGGGAAGAAGGTCTTCAGATTTTATTTATTTGGCGGGAAAAGGAAACAGGGCCTGCTGTTCAATTGAATGTGATTTTAAGGGAAAAAGAAGACACCAAGGGTTACTCCTAGATTTGGGGTCTAAGTAACTTGACGAATGAGACTATTTGTTGATTTCGGTAGCATGGAAGAAGAGCAGATTTATAGCGTGCTATTGTGAGTTCAGCTTTGCATATGTTAGGTTCTAGATGCCTGGGACATTTAGGACTCATTAATTAAATAATCTGACCTTAGCAGGCTTCAAGCATGTTCTCTGCTATATATCTCCTTCCTGTCACTTAGTGATGTCTTAGAACCCATAATTTTCTAGTTATGCTAAATTATTTAAAATGCTCAAGTCTCAGGCACACTGACTCACAATAGGGAGGAGAAATACAACGTTCTTCCCCTTCCTGCCCACTCTCCTTGTTGCTATAATTCCCACTGTTCTTATAATTACCACTGTTGAGGCTGAGAGGATGGATTTGGGGCATGCAATCTCCTTCCTCTGTTAGTTGTAGGTTCTTTCCTCTGAGAACCTCAGACTGCTGTCCTTTGGTGTCATCTAGAGCAGACACCCAAATGTCTTGCAGAATACATATTTGAGTTCTCTGGAGGAACCTACAAGAACTTGACCAGCTCTGAGGTTCCACTGCATAGTCCCTGATGTGGGAGTACTGACTCTAGTCTTGCCTATTGCAGAGCCCCTCAGCTCCCTCTCCAGCAATATACTTCATAGCCCGTACTGTAGAGATGCCCTTACCAAGTAGGCCACCCACTTGAGAGACATACTAGCAAGAGGACTCAAGCCGGGATGTATTTTGCACTGCTCAATGAACCCTCAGGAAGCTCAAGCATCCTTGCCACAGAACAAGGACACTACTGTCTCTCTCCAATTTTATTTTCCTTCTATTCAGATAGGCACAAAACAAATCAACAAATCCACTATTCCACCAGGAGATGGGTTGCCACACATCCTTTCTCACAGATACCCCCAATCACTGTAAGCAAATCTCAAAGTGCTTCCCATTTGCCTTCAGAAAAAGAAAGCACAATTCCTTCCTCCCCTACAACATCATTCCTGTGTTAACTACTCACAACTCCAAAGACTCTTAAATCTCCTACCCTTTACAGTTGTTTGCTTACATTGGCTTGGAAAAAGGGTGACACTTGAGATAGGAGAGCTAATTTGGCCATCATCTGTCAAGGCCGGTGAGCAGCACCTCTGCAGTGCACAGCCTCAGGAATCCTTTCCCTTTGAATTATGGAGTTGGCAATGCTGCAATCCCTCCTGAGGGCTTGTCTCACCCCAGTTTGCTGAGGAGGGGAATGGGAAGTTATAGCCTCTTTTTCCTCAGCTTTGTGATCCTACTTGTCAATTTGGGGGTAACAAGAAAAATCCCACTAAACATTCTGTTCCCCATCCAAGCATATTAAAAGGCAATTAAATATTTGAGTCTGAAGATTTAGGGAGAGATTGGGTAGGAAATAAATTAGACAGTAACCAGCATGTAGATAACATTTAAGACCATTGGACTAAATATGATAACCAAAGGTATATGTGAAAATGAAGGGGTAAGGATTAATCAGTTTTAGAAGTTTAGAATAAGAGAAAAATCTAACTGAGCATATAGAGAAGTTGTGAGCAGGGAGATAGAAGGAGAACCAGCAAAGGAGGGGGAGTCTCACAGCACTCAAGAGAAGACAGTATTTCAATATGGAAAGAATGAACAGTATCAAAAACAGCTAAACAATAAATTTTTGGAGTAAGAACTGACAAGGAATTTTGCAAAATGAATGTCATGAGTAACCTTGATAACATAGGAGGGAAGAAATGCCTAAATGGAGGAGGTGAAGAAGATAGTAAAATTTTAAACGGTAAGGCAGCTGATATGGCATATGGCAGCTAGTATAGCATGAAAAGGCCACAAAAGGCTGGAGTTCTGATAGATTGTGATTTACCTATTGGGGGATAAAAGAAAGACTATCCTTTCTAAAAAGATAAAAGAAAGAAATGTATATATATTA